CAAATGAAAGTAATCTTTTAAACGGGCATGTTGACATTTGTTTCGTCCAAAATGAGAATAAAATACTAGAAAATAGCAATAATGTAGGCAATATCATAGATATAGTAGATGATATATTAATAATCCTAAATAAAACCTAATAATAACGACTCTCCCTTCCCACTGCTGGACACATATCTCTCTAAGAGCGAAGATCCCAGATAGAAGATAATTTATTACAAAACAAAGAATACGATACACACGAGTTTGTTGTTGCAACAGTTTGCAGCAGTGGTCAATTACCAACCTTCGGATATCGTGGGCAGCACGTTGACAACGTTGACAATCCCGACGCCTGTAAGCTGACTCATTCACCAATTTATTCACTTCCAAGTGCTGTCTAACTACTAACAGATGCAGTAGAAAATACAAAAAAGCCAAAACAATACGGTCACACACTTGACATTTAACTTGTAGCCCACATAGATAATTGTGCGAAATTAAAATTTGATCACTTCAGATTTAGGCACACTGTATGCTTAGGCTAGTTATTATCACTGTGCACTTATTCCATAACAAACGAAGAGAAATGGTGATGTATCACATAAGGACGCCCTAGATTGTAGGCGGTAACAATGCGCGTGCGCCGTGCTGTCGAACTGACGTTCCGGAGCCTACTGGCCAGCCAGACAGACAAGTGGCAACGCCCGTTCACCTACTCTTATCTTCGATGACGGCGTACTTGCTTATTCTGCGCGCTTGCTTAACTGCTTGCTTATAAGGAATCAAATCGAGACCATTTTTAGGATAATGTAGATATTTATTGAGATTGTATGGAATGACATTACCATAAAGAAATAACGATAATAAATAATAGAACTTAAGATAATGAACCAAACAGCTAATATGGATGCACTTGATTGCATGAATTTGGTGGTATTTTAATTAAATCTTTATATGTGAAGATACCATTACAGAGTGTATAGAAATTCTACAAATTATCACTATTTTAAAGATAGAAGTATTCTAACGTATAATTCAAGAAGGGGTAATCGAATTCACTGTAAATTTTGTGATGGACAACATTTGACAGGCTTACTTACTAATTATGTTTGACCTAACATGTTAGCCAGCTAACGTCTTTTACGACTAATTTAAATGTTATCGGTTTTACGCCGAAAAATGAGTCAAGCATTGACATTTACAAAACAAGTTTAGTGAATCTGTTACATCAGTAAAATGAAAACTCGCAACGTTCGAAGTCAAATACTAAACTATACTACTAAATAGAACATTGAAAAAGTAAATGAGTTTTTTAAAAAAGTCACACAAACTGTTTTGAGACCAACCGATAAGAACAGAAATAATATATATGTAGGCAATGACTATGTTAAATTTTAATCATGATATAACATAGTGCACGTAATTTGCTATTTATGTAGGAATAAAAATATAGAGCCTATCATCCCCAGATATTTTACCTCTCTATAAAAATCAAATATTTTTTAATATGAATTGAAATAAAATATCGTTTTACACACAAATAACTGTTTTTTTAAACATGTAAAACATCGATTTTTATCTGTAAATCATTACAAGTATTATTAACTAATTATTTATACAACCTTTTCTAATTTAATCAACATACACAGATTATCAAATATTTTATTAATATGAATTTAAAATTAAATATCGTATATCCGATTTTTGTGTTGTCTACTCATACAAAGGTAAAACAAGTAAGTCATATATGTGACAAGTGTATAGTCATCGATCACTGACTGCAACTCGGAGGAAGTTAAAGGACATATTTTACCAAATTAGAACACAACAGGCTGCAAATATTAAATAGTAAATGTATGTATACCTATGTAGTTCAATGCTTCAGTATTAGTAAAATTTTGATATTATAAATGATGAATCTTTCATGATATTAGTACAAAAGCTGGTGAAATGTTATCGATTCCATATCATTGTTTGATATATGGATTTGAAATAATTAAAACTTCGAACCAGATACAGTAAAACAACATATCGCCAAAGGTTACATAGTCAATATAAACGATTATCATCAATTCTTAATCGTTCATGCAAGGTTCGCATACATAATTGACGCCAGTAAACGCTAGAATACTAAGTTTAGGTCGTTATAGAAAACATTCAATGCAATTATCAGTGCATAAAATTTTATACACGCTACGAAGCAGTGCAATTTATGTCTGGATCACTTAAATACTCAAAACATCTGCAATGATTTATTCTATTGTAGTGTCTTTCACACTACAAATCGTCTGAGAATTCTTTTCTAGCCGTAATAATGAAATGTCAATAAGGGTTTAATTTATTATTTAAAAAATGTAAATTTTCTACGTCATAAACATTCTTACAGAATATTATAATATATTCATGCCAGTATATTTAGCAAAATAAAATTACGATTGTTTATAATTAATAAAATTAGATACAACATCCTCCTAACATTAACTCGTAATACTTAACGCCTGATAAATTTTATTGAACAAAATCGAAATTACATAAAAGACCTTTTCTGCATTTGTCGAGTTTGTAGAAATACAAAGAAATAAATAAATAGTATTAAAGTTTCATCTTAATTAATGTTGCAACCAGTGCATGAACGTGTACATATGATAGATATCTGAATTAAATACAGTCCTGTATTCATATGTTACAAACGTAGATTATAAGTAGTTCACTAACAGAATATACATCATAAATGTCCGAATGAAATAAATAAAATAAAATGTTCAAATATAAGTTTAAAATGTTTGATAAAATAATCTATTGTTTCAAACGGTAAAGCCGGGTTCTGTCTGTATTCTGGACTTCAACAATGTTTTGTCTATCCAATTCACATTTTCAGATGCCGATTGCGCCATCTTTATAATTATCACTACAATAATAACATCACAAACACAGTAATAACAGCAAAAATATATTATTTTACTTAGTAATACAATTTATTTTGAATTGCCCCAACTAATTGTTGTCTAATTTGAAGTTTCTCATACCAAAGAGTATTTCGGGTTGAAAACCCGGGATTTATATGCGGTGTGGAATATCTGCTTATATTATATGCTATGCATATTGTAACATAGGCTTATATTATCTAATGTCTTATATTTGGTGTAATTTTCCGCGCAATTTTCACGTTCTTTTGTTTTGTTACATAGCATTAAGTTGGCTGACGCGATGTTACTGACGTATTGCCTCTACTGACAAGCCTGTATCATTCAGTACACTATTGGCTAATTTATGCTTACGAAATTCAATTTTGCTAATTGCTGACCTTATTTTCGAAGATGTCTGTTATTCAAACACTTGTTAAGTAATACTAAGGATGTGATGCGTTGTACACAATCGAATCTGGGTTATCGTTTACAAATGACTCATGGAGTATTATTTTGCTTTAACGTGGTATCTCAACTGTCTGGTTTATCTGATCACCGTATACGAGTGTATTTACATTTTTACAACACAATTATTTGAATATCTATTACGGACCTATGTAGTTAGACGCACAAGTTTTAGTCGTACTCTACTCTTTTCGAACATTTTCTAAAAAAACTATAGAAATTATATATTTAATATATATATATCTATATCTATATATGACCTGGTGGCTTAGCACACCACCAATATGTATGGCCGCAGGTTCGAATGCTCGCAAGGTACAAACATTTGTATTCGTGACTATGATCGTTTGGATTGGTCTGGGTATTATAAACGTATATTATATAAATATTTACAAAAAAAAAAAGTAATTTGTATATTACTACAAAACTTCCGAAGTAACTAATTGCTTTCGAACGTTGATAAACAATGTAGATGATATTTCTTAGGATGAACACTCTGAAGAAGAATTTTCATTGTCTCTGCAATTCAGAAACATTATAACCATCCTCAGCAAACAAGTAAAGTAGTCGGCCAAAATTAAGATAGAAAAAGTATTTATTAATTAAAACATTAACTTTGGAAATTGGTAACATTTATTGAGTAGACAGCCACTTATAGAAAAATAATATGAGGAAATCCTCATATTATTTTTCTATAAGTGGCTCAATAATTTTACAGTTACTGCACACTATTAGTTTGAGAATAATGTTATTCATGCTCTTACTGTTGCCATTTTCATAAAAATGTAAGTTGACTAATACCTCTATACTTACCTTATAATCCGTTGTTTCATTGAATATGAATATTACAGTGAAACCATTCTTTCTAAAGCATCATAAGGGTCAGTGACTAACAATTGGCCTATTATTCCTATAGAATATCGAACAGCATTAATGTTTCATGAGGTTCCAACAGTAAAACTCTTAAAGCGATTTTTCAAGTAAATATATGAAGGAAATTTATAAGTTGCCCAGATATTACGAAAATGTGAAACTTAGAGTGTCAAGTTTCTGTTTGCGGAATAAATAACCTCTAAAAGTTCTAAACTAATTCTATAAATTATCACTTAACGATATTACATAGTATGTTTCTATTCAATTAAACCAGGCAGCAGAATTACAAACTCTTTTAAATCATCATCAAGTATCTACATCCCATAAGTTGAGTATAAAAAGAAACTGCCACAATTTTCCGCTAATAAAGCAAAAGATTTTATTGAATGGACTTCGCAACCATTACTACCGTTCTGAAAATTGCAAATCAAACAACAGGTGTCGACTCTCATTAAAATTAATATCTATTCAGAAAATTCATACCTTTACAAAATCAGAACAAAACGTAGTTCTCCGAGAAAATATACTGTCAAGAAAAATCATTATATTGATTGTCATTTGTTCTATAAATATTCAGATTTCGTAATAGTTGTTATTAAGGATGAAATATGACTGCAACGACGTAAGTATTAATGCTGTTTATGTACTTCAAGATCGGTTTCTTCACTTAATTATGAGTAGGTATAATGTTTTAATAGTTTGAAGCATTTCCTGTAGAAAATTTACAACAATAATTAGTAGATTAACTATTCATAAAAAGACATCAAAACTTACTTCTCTTAGATGTGCCGAATACATCTTCGTGACCGTTATACGTTCTATCATCATCGTACTCGTAAACCTTGAAACTTTCGAACGAATACAGCTTGCCGCCTTTTATATCAATGTAATCACTAAAACAAGCTATAAAATAGCTCTAAACGTCCTATACAAGATTGATTTTAAAACAATACAATGACTGAGATTCACTGTTGCGTCACTACGTATATTGCGTCCATAAAATGTACACACTCTACTCGTATAAACAGTTCCACAAACTATTCCTGAGTTTCAAAGAGTGTTTAGTTGGCTCGTTACGCAGGCCCGGTGAATGTTTACAATCACTTCAATAATGGAAGCGGGATTACGCACACCGCTATTGTTTTATCGTAACAATGACAATTTGCGAGAGATGCGTTCCAGAGAAAGTGTTCGAACGTCGCGCGGAAGTCGGGCGTCGTCGGAGGGAGCGTCGTCCGTGGCGACCGCGTGTCGTCTGGCTGGGCCGCAGTAGGCGACTCGCCGCGCCGGCGCCACGAACTGTGTCAGGAGACACGGCGCCCAGAGCATCCCTGTATACCCGGAATAGCGAACACCTCCACATTTCCACACTTGACGCATCGATACGGTCGCTGTACCAATCGACCATAACAATAAAAGTGGTGAGGCGCCTCGACTATCTAATGATAATTAAAGGCAGTTTATTTGCGTTCACCGTGACGAATCAATGGTACATAAGGAAACAGAGATCCTATCAACAATTAAATGTAATAAAACACAATTACACATTCATTAATTTCAATTAATTGAATTGAATGGACCTACGTCAATAATTAACATAGTACAACAATAATACGTTTACTATCATTGCTTTTGTGCTGACAGAGCACACACACATAAGTGTAATAAATGTAGAGCAACTAAACATGTAGCAAGACACTAGCGGTCTTATTACAAAAAATCTGTTAAAACTCGGACGAAACGTGGTCTAAATGGTCGTGGTTTAAACCATTCCTAAAGTTAATACTTGGAATAAACCTAACATTATTACGAATCCAGATCTAACAGAGGACTACTTAGTACTACAGTTAAATCGTTCATTATGTATTCCATACAGAAATCAGTCACTCATGTCTGTCACCGTACAATTACGTTCCATTTTACCAGAAAACTGAAAAGATCAAAAATAATATTAGTTCAAAGAAAAATGTATAAACTAAAAATAAATTTATTTCTATTTATCTATGTCTTCATTATAACTATTTCATTAATATATAATATTTATTAATGTACTATTAGGCTGAAAATCAGTTTTAAATTATAAGTAGGAGTCCTATACGGAGAAAAGGAACGGCGAGATATTTTTATTGGATCATTCGAATGATGACTATTTCAAAGTCAAATGAGTGAAAAAATAACAATTAACGTCTTTTATATATTTTTATTGTCGTAAAATTTGCTTTAAATATTTTTAGTTAATATATTTTTAATTTAGTTAAAATATTTTTCCAAAAACTACAACTAACAATAGAATTTTTAAAATGGAGTGGATGTATAAAATGAGCTCTCACTGGAGTGATTTATTTATGTATAAATATTATATTTCTCAAGATAATCTCCTCTAAAAAGATAATTACAAGTACGTATAAAAATATGTTACAGGAGGAACATACAAACATCACAATCTGTACATCTATTACTTCTTAGAACGCCGCTGCATAAAATTTTACTGAAGAATACTTTGTACATAGCCGTCAACGTGGGCTTGCAAAGTGGTTTGTTTTGTATTTCGTTTGAGGTTGAGATAGGGCAGTAAAATTATTGGGTACAATGGCATAACACGTTAGACCTTTGAGGGATGGATGGAATGGGAACACATGAAAATGTCCGTGGTACTATTCCACTAGTAGAATAGTCATTCTAACAACATAAAAAAAAAGTTTTAGACAAGTCATAAAATTCAAATGGAGAACTCACTAAGTTATTCGATTCTGTCACAGTCACAGTTATGAATCCGACTAGTCAGAAATGCGTCGCTAGCTGAAACAATCCATTGATCGGACAAGTCCGCTTGGCGAAATAGGGAGCTTTTCGCACCCACCCTCATCTCATCCCGCAATGGCTTTCTATTTTTAGATATAACCTACAAACTGATGTAATCCTTCAAATTATGTTCTTTCGCTCTGTTTACATTATCTCATTTTTTATTTGCTCCTTTTTAACCTATCTTTCTGAAATTGTTAATATAAATAGGTAAGATTACACAAAAAAATTATAGCAACTCATCCTAATCTAATAATGTAACAAAACTAATTGTTAATTTCCATACTGATTTTATAAATTACAACTCAACTCGTCTGTCTGTCTGTCTTTATTGTCATTAGATTTAGACGAAGTACACAGGACACATTTATATTCATAAACATTAAACATAACGGGGATAATAGTTGATAAGGGAACTCAATCATTTCTCAAGTGTTAAAAATTTCTTCATTATTCTATTTTTTCTATTTACTATGCAGACAAAGTCGCAGGCATAAGTAAGTGTTACATAATTGAGATTTGAAATAAGGAAATTAGAAATCATAAATAAATGATTACGTCCGCGCAGTTTGATGGCAGCAATACTGGACTACAACGATAAATATCGTCTATAATTGAGTTAATAAAATTATGTATGTTACGAGTAACAAACGTTATCGACGTTTAACCGGAAACTTTGAGACGCTTCGAAAGTCTCATTACTAACGAACATATATAATTAATACCATAAAATATTACTTATATCTAAGTAATATTTTATTTAAGTCTCAATTGAGTCAACATACTGTGTAATTCTATCAATATTATAAATCAGAAAGTTAGCACAATTAATATTTCCTTATTAAGTACGTTTAGAAAACAAACAAATAAAGAGTGATGTGATTAAATTTTATACAAATAAAATTATATTTCAGTATAAAAGTTAATTTTAAAGTGTTGTAAACTATGTAGATTTACGACACTGAAATGTTATCTCCTTATGTAAAGTAGACATAATCAATAATAAAGAATTTCGAAATACAAGTAATGTGCGGCCTATACAGTCATTGTCCAAAACATAAACAGGCCTGATGTATGCTTTCGTGATAGAAATTACTAATACCTACTTATCATAATACCTGGAAATATTCGATCAGATCAGATAATATAAATTAGCTTCATTCTTTAATTGAATAGCATTCTAAATTGCTGAGTCTTCCTCTACTGAAGTAATAAAAAGCTATAATATATATCTTATATAAAACTTAATGAACATTAAAAAAGCTATATACTATTGCGTAATAACATACTACGGTATATAAGCTCTTTGCATCTGTTATCGTTCTCACAAATCGACCTATGACATTTACAGTAAATAGGCAGCTACGTAGAGTGACCTGACCTGCAAATGTTATTTTAAATGGGACGCTATCGAATTTCCGTTAATGCACAGTAAGTAAAAGTTATAATGGCATGAGGTTTATCTTAGTCGAGACTTCGATAGAAATGCTGACCGCATGAACAGAAGACCATCGGGTAATAAATCAAGGGTGGGCGAACATGTGGAGAGGATAATCATTACCAATTCGAACATACTCGTAACGAACTATGTATCTTAACGCCAGATCTTTTATGGGGTTGGCAATAAGTGCTAAATGCAACAGGACTCTATTTTCTTAGAACTAATGGTAAATGATTTAATTTAAAAGCAAAACTTCATATATCGGATGACGTTATTTAAATTTCTGAGAAAATGATTGTACATATGCTATAAGAAGTAGATGCATTAAGGATAGATAGACTAGGCTTATAATCTACGCGATTTCGATTTTCTCTGAAAATACAGTACAAACTTCCATCCCCTTCATAGTACGTGACGCCGCGATGTGATAGTAACGGAACTATTATGCCACATTTATTCCCCCACGATAAACAAAATTTTCCGGTACCTATAATATGTGTAAAAGTAGTGAAGGTCGTAATGCCAAACACTCCTTTACTTGATGTATTTATATATGGACTTCCGCAAAACCCTGATTTCATTAAATATAAACAAACTTCTCACGTTGTGCTGTAAGTTTGAATGGAGAAATATGGTAGTAAATTTACTGAATATTCGGATTAGTCGATAGTAATCACAGCGTATAAGGGGCACCGCGGATGTCAGTGTATCCTGTGACGTTCATATCTACAGGTGATGGTAAAAATTCTTAATGATGTAGGCCGTATGCTATTCCTACTTACTAGTATGAATATAACACCTGAATAATTAATCGCCACTGAAACGTTAAAGAAATTTTAGATAGCAAGTAATACTCTAATTTGGATATTGATAAATGTAGGTACTTGGTCGTTGTTATCAAGTTGATAATTAGCAATAATGAATTAATCAGAATTAAATTGTATCGTCATTAATTGCCTATATATTAGGTATAAATAAACATTCATTCGAAATTAACTATTTCGTGTTTACTAGAAAATAATTATTTACAATAGACGAAACAAAATTACTCCGTTGGAAATTAGGATCCGATATTTGGCAAATCCTTCCAATAAATAAACTTTTACTAAAGCCGTTATGTAAAGGATACTTTTACATTTATATTCCTTTAAAATTTGCCAAGATTTCTTGCCTTAGGCGAAAGCGTTTCCTGTCCTTTAAATTAAAGAGGAATTGTTAATCAATCACTCCGGCTCAATACAATTTGATGAGTATTTTACGGAAATAGCGAAGCGTCATTACTTGATCAAGGACAAGAAATAATAATTGGATCTTAACGCATTATCAATTATGTTTAGTTAGCAAAAAGTGCCGTCGTATTTCTATTCTAATTTAGCACTTAAACGTCTTTTCCAAGCCCTCGTGATGAGTGGATATTTATGGTAATATTATGCAAAAGAGCGGTCCCATTTCGAAATCTCTGATGTTCAAGGAGTACTTAAATTCGGAAGATTGTAAATGGATCGATAACGTATATCGGAAACAGACATGCGAGACACGAATCAAACATCGACAGTGGCCTTGACCCGGTTCTGGCGGCAAATGGCTATACCCCTCGGTGGCGTCGAAGGCAGTAAACGATTATCTTGGTTTAGGCATATCAATGGAAGGGACGAAAGACATCTTTTGAAAAGGTCAAATGCATCGAATATAATTATAGCTAGATCTTCTGAAGTTAGATTTTCATCAGAAAGCTGGACAAAGTAAATCCTAGTTTGATTCGAGTAAAGTTTTTAGACTATCGGGTAACTAATGGATCACATCTCGAGATCTAGCTGGGCTGGCCACATTACGCCACCATAGCCTCTATGATATCACCGCAGGATAAACTTCTTTGTGTCTGATACCGGCTTTTAAAACTACCATGTGATTAATTCTTGGCGAATTCGGCAAATATTCATATTATATTTTTTTTATATACATATTTTTATATATGTCGCCTCACACATGGAGGGCGTGGCTCTTAATTTAAATGCCTAATCTACTAATGTACCCTACAACCAAAACATAAGTGACAAAGCAAGCTGCTTTGCAGATGACAGGTGTGACTAAGGCAGACAACTTTTTACAAAGTCCACCTTGATATAACTCGAAGTCATTTTTAGTCTTCCATCTTTCACTGGTTCCCAGTAAGCGGGAACACTATTCGATTATTATCGTTAAAAAAATATAGGACTAGACTAACCCAACGGCTCGGAACACTTGGTTAACAATAATGTGACTGAAATGAGGATGTCACGTCTATAACGTCTTTTCTACTCGAATGTCATTAGCATACAATTATTTTTATTATGTTTCTCTCACATTAGTCAAGTTTATAGTTGCTGTTTTTGAGATGAGACGCATAAGAATACGAGTTACGAAATATGTATGTTTAAGCTAGATATATACATAGTTAGGTACATATAGTGTCATGATAAATTTGTTAGGCATCTTTCGAGAACCTTGGCATTCAGATGGTAGATTCACTTTTTATAATAACATTTTACATAAATAAGGTGTAATTTAAAAACGATAACATTATGTAAATCAGAAATACTGTATGGAATTACACCGAGTTGATGTCTTACGATAACACTCTTAATTCTCTCTGAGAAGGAAAACATATTGTAAAAAAAAAATCTCAGAAAATGAACTTCTCATAATATTTAGCATTACTTCCACTTCAATTGTTTCACAAAGAAAAAGATAAAACTTATTGTTATTTCTAATACCTAACGACGCATTTTCAGTGCTAGTAATTTGCCGCTAAAGGACCTAACATAAAAGTACGTTAAGAATAAATCATATAAATATAGAATAGACATACTACTATACCAACATTATAAATAGAAATTGTATCTGGTTGTCTGTTACATTAATAGGACTAGTGGTTAATAAACTCACAAAGCAATTTAATGTGAAGATATATTGTATTACGAGGATGTATCTAGAAAATAATACTGCTAGATCTCGCTGTACCTTGGGAAACTAATATAAGTACCTAAAGACTGAAAAAAAAAGAAATAAATATTACTAACTAATAAACGAATTAACGATAGAATTTAAAATGGCTATGTGGTTAATTGATATACGGTAGAAATGGGAGTGAAAGGCCTCTTGGCCTATCAAGAACTGTAGTGTTCTATATTAGAACATGTATTAAAACTGCACTAGCAAATTCCTACCAGATTTGGCTGGGCAAGGAGAGAAACACGAGCTGTGAAGGTGATTATTGACGTATATCGGCAAAAGAGCCCCTTAAACCTATGGAGAGGGTTGAAAAACGAATAAAAGCATATAAAGACAAAGTTAGTTTTAAATAAAAAATATTTTTTAAATAATATCTATAGATAGATCTTGTACTGTAAGATACAAACATTTCTATCAACTTAATTAATCCTGTCTCTGTGTCCAATAAATAATTATTTATCTCTTATCTTATGATAAAGTGTTTTCACCTGTCTATTAATAAAGAAAAAAACTTTAAACTTTGTATGGATGCATGTGATCATGTTTTGATGTTTTTGGTTATAATATTGATAGTAATCTGGTGCATTACTAGGAATATTATTGTTTAACAAGACGGTTTATGATAAGTTGAATTGTCACTGAAAAAAATACTATTTGCTATGATATATATTTCATAGTGATCTGTGTACAACAGAGAATAGTGATGGAGCTTGTTTTTATGTAAGTGGAATGTTAACCTAGCCTACAACCCACCTGATGGAAAGTGCAAAGGTTGGCATGTTCCATCAGTTGGGTACTTGTTTCTCATGCTATTAACATGATATAGCATCAGAGATTTCATGTGTGTCTATATATTTAATCATATTTTTATGCTAACTAAAAAAACGTTTACATTTATATAAAGCTGTGTCTGCGGTTTCACCCGATATTCTGATGTATAAGCCACATTATTGTAAAGTTTCCTCAAAATTCATTTAGTAGAATTTAGATTAGATTCATTTAGAAGAAACAGAGAGTAACAAACATCTATCAATCTATCCATCCACACCCTCAAACTTTAAATTTTTAATATTAAATTATATAAAAACTGCAATAACAACATCATAAATTGACAAATTGATGTAGTTGTAATTGAATAGACATGTAGGGTTAGAATGAAATTAAACTTGTATCTTACAGTTGCCATGTACTAACATAATAATATTAGGTGAACACTTAGAAAGATATATGAACTGTGTGAAAACTATTGCAAGAAGAGGGAGATACAAACTTCTTAACAATTCATAGATTACCTACATAAGTGCCTGGTACAATGTGTGACTAGTAGAGGAACTTGAGACTCATCTCTAAAAATGGTATCAAACATAGAAGATGAAATGACAATAATAGTAATAACCCAGGAGAATTCAAAAAGTGCCGTCTAATACCAAACTAAGCAGAACATAATTTATGTATACTAATCAATGGATGATATGGAATGGACGGTAGGAAAAAAAATTTACATTCATAAACAGCAATGTCCTACATGAATATATTATTTTTGAATTTGATAATACTTAGATGTACTTTTTTTAACACACACAGCCTGAGACACCACTAACTGACACAAACAATAACATTCATGAATACAAATGTTAGCAACACATGAGAAATCAAACTGTAATTAGTGGAAGTATGATGGCTTACTAAACTACTAGTTGCCTGAGGCTATTACTCTACAGTTGAAGTAATATTTAATATCACTAGGTTGTAGTATAAAAACACAAAATTTTATAATCATCTTAAAACTGGTAAATTAAGAAAAGTATTGCGCAGTGACTGTCTAAATGTATTTAATGATTTCCATCAATATTTAATGCAAAAATAAATTCAGTTAAACTAAGATTGCATGGCCACTGTGTATAGTATATGTTATATAGTTCATAGTCCTTCTACATAGTACCTGCATAGACTTCAAGTTTTTTTGGTATTATTATATGAGTGTATTGTGGACTTTATTTTTCACATGGAGCTTCTCATTTGGTCTGTTGTATATGTAGTTATTACATGAAATAAATGTAGTCAATATTTTATATTAATATAAAAACGATAAATAATACCCAGTATTTCACTAAATACAATCAATAACAACCACAACTAAATATTGGATATATCAAAACAGAATACATTAATTAACTTTCTTAAAAATGTGTACTTGAAGTTCAATGTTATATATTCAAATATGTACATTGAAAAGAAGACTTATGCATGACATCATTGCATAAAACCAGTAGATAGTAAGACGTTGCTACATTTATTATGTTAACGAATTAAGAAACTTATAACTTTCAACAGAACTAGTAAACACAATATTATGATTGTTTGGTTGGTTGGTTGGTCTACTTAATTCGATTTTTGTCAAACAATTTATTTGTAGCGGTGACATATTAAAATTTACAATATCAGTACGCATAATATCAGTAAACAAGTTACCGTACTATTTAAATAAAGTGTGACAAGCACAAACTTACCATCTTTGACATTCTTGGAAGACTGGGACGATGACACTCCGGGTATAGTTTTGTCACTTGCACAGTACATTATACTTAATTAAATAAATGTAATTAATAAGTCACACTCATCTAATCAAGTTAAACATGTTATCAAATCGATTGGATATAACAATACATTTACAAATTACGAGAAAGAGGTCGGCCATTCCACATTCCGGTTGTAAATATCGCAGAACAGAGAACCGAGACACATAGACAACAACGTCTGACAAAGAAAAGAAGACATTGATAGTTTTATTTCTACCACAGAGAGAGTATGAAAATGTCTGGAATGGAAAGACGCAATGCATGCTATCTCTACTGAAGTTGTGTAACAGTATATGTCAAATTTCAAAAACTAATAGCAGTAACAGTTACTTCTGACAGAAAAGACAAAATAGAATTTTTTTATCATTCTAAGATTCAACGATTGAAAACATTAATACTTAAATATAAAAAAAATATTGTGCTGTTTCTACGTTTTTCACTTTACTACTATATATTCTAAAAGTCAAAATAAGAACCATGGATACACTACGGCAATTCGTGCAAAAGAGACAGAATGTCTTATAGAGATGTGTCGTAAGTGAATTCTACTTAGTAATTTGTGGCCAAATTGAAAAATGTACTAGTGCATTGTAATAATATAAGAATTTGCAACGATGCACACCATGTGCATATACCTTGATATATTATTATATTCGGGAATCTTTATATTAAGTTTATTTGATTAACGATGATTTAATTTCTATTTTGCAGTTTTGCACCCACGTTCTCCTTCTATGCGATTATATATCTCCACTATGATATTGACTGTCAAAGTTGACTTCTTAAAAAAACGTCAAATTGAAACTGTCACAGGCTTGTAATCCTTATCGACACGACAGTGATCATTATTCGTTTTGGTGTTGTCTATTTATTTTGTCCATTTATCGCTGTGAAATCAATTGAATTCCAAACTGTTCATTTATTTTTATTTGTTATATATTTTAGAATTTTTCCATTAATGTTAAGTACTCGAAAATAATGATGCAACATCAGTATTGGGTAACAAAAAAGACTGTGTTAAAAAAATTGGGAACCAAAGAAGATGAATGTATCGTTGCTTCAGACGCTGAGCTTGATGCGAAATTGGAATTGTTTCGATCAATATCTGACAGCTGTTTGCAATTACAACGCGTACTAGATCAGTATCAACAACGATTATGTATTTTGGCTCAAGAGGAGAATACTTTAGGCAAGTTTTTGCGAGATGCTGGCAAAGGCTCGGATGCTTCGGGCAAGCATATGATATCCGCCGGTAAAGCTATATCTTACTCCGGCCAGCAACGGTTATCTGTGCGGGGACCGTTGTTGAGACTTTATCATGAAGTTGAAACATTTAGAGGACGTGCTGTTAGCGATATGCGTGCTACAGTATCAGCAATGGAAAAAGCTCGCATTGAATATCGTGCCGCGCTTAGTTGGATGAAATCTACGAGCGCGCAGCTCGATCCAGACACTGGTCGCGGACTTGATAATTTTCGGAAAGCTCAGCGTCAAGTACGCGAGAGTAAAAAGCTTTTTGATAAATTAACACTTGATGTCTTGCAGAAGGTAAATTATTTTGATATTTAACACATAGTTTATTTGTTTACACAAGTAACTATCTATATAATATTATATTCTTGTTATAATAAATTGGTGTGTTTGTATTCACACAAAACATTAAAAATTAAATGTGAAACATATCTGTTTAAAAGAGCTTATTTCAAATGCTAGAATGCATTTTCACCCAATAATTATGAAGAAATAAGCTCTTGAATGAGTGATACATTAATAAAAGAATATCTAAATAGTCTTATATTAAGTTTATCTAAGCATATTTATTTTTAGATTGATCTCTTAGCGGCTGCAAGATGCAACATGTTCTCCCATGTTCTTTCAACTTACCAGAGTTCCTTTTCAACATTTTCAACAAAAGTGGTCCAAACTTTGATTGCTACAGCTGATACAATGAGCTCTACACCACTCTATGAATTTTCTATATTGAAGGAATTATCCCAGAATTTAGAAGCTGAAACCAAACAAGAAGTAGTGCCGCAGGATAAAGATCAAATGTTATTTTTTCAGGTATAACTTGTCTTTTTTATAAGTATATAACTTCCAATTTCAAATAAAATTATTGTGGTACTTTATAGTCATTTAAATAACATTAACATAAACTCAAAACTACAGTGTATATTATTAGAACAGATTGATTGACTGATATATAAAGTAATCCAAATAGTCAACTGTAACATTTATATTTATTGCTTTTTCTAAGCTAAGAGGACACATATAGATATGACTAATTCTAATTTTAGTCATTCATAATTAATACAGTAGGACATATTTTTGATACTTTCAGCCACATGCAAGTAATTACTAAGCAATTAAACTGACTATTATTTACAATTGTCAAATTAATGACTTAAAATTAAATAAGGCATCTTTGTGTTTTGTTACATTTATTTCTTACTGATTATACATATAATTTATATTTCCAGGATGAATATAAAGATGATAATAATGATAAGAAAAAGAACAAAGATACTACTGAAACTAGTGATGCCAAAGAAAAATCACCTCCGTCCATAAATCCTACAACTCCATCAACATCAAATTTAATTGATACTGGTTGTACTGAGTCAGAAAGTACTGGGGAATCTTCTGGAATAATATCAGATTTGGCTGGACTACAATTGGACTGTGGTGACATGCCCACCCATTTTAGCTCTTTTATGCCCTCTCAGTTGTTACAAGTAAGATGTTTATTATTAATTTATCGTGTTCGTCATTATTTTTTTCATGTAAATGTAATGCCAACTAAGCAGACAGTCCACCTGATTGAAAGTGGCAATCATTGCCTATTTATATAAGAACAGTACTATGGACATGTGGCACCCATGGTGCACCCTCATACACTAAGGAATCATACCTCTGTACCACAGCTTACAAGCTCATTGAAAAGTCTGATTTCTCACATAGGGACTGGTACTTTTAATTTGTTAGAATAGAATAGAATAGAAATAGAATAATGATCACATAGACTTTAAAAATACTCTCTGTTTTTTCTTATTTAATGACTTACATATGTCAGATGTAATGTTATAATAGATTTGGACAATACCTAATTCCTGCTCTAATTATATTGTGTGTTATTACAGAATTTGACTGCGCCTAATTTGTTCCAAAACCCTCTAACACCGAACACCAATAACAACAAAAAATCAAATTCTCCACAAAGTAGCTATTTAGCTCCAATGGCTCCGAAAAAAGAAGACAAGGCAGCTTGGTTCAAGTTGTTCGCTGAATTGGATCCTTTGGCCAACCCTGACAACATACCTGGTACAAATACTAACCAAAGTCATGCTGCATAATTTATTACTGTTATTACAATTATATATTTATATTATATACTGTGCATAAAAAGCAATTGTTAATGAGCTATGAAGAGCAAGTACATAATTTCCAAATACAAACTATTAAAGTCATATATGCATATATGTAATAGGTTACCTGTGTGATTGTCTATAAATTTTGTTTTCTCTAGAAAACTATCCGAATTTAGTCTAAAAACATTTTTATTGTGTTTGTCACACGCAAGATGTGTAATTGAATTTTGATTTTATTTTTATGCTGATATATATTACGAATGTACCTTTATTATAATTTACGTAAAAATTAACAGTATTAGAAATATATATTTACTATTCTAAGCTGTATAATTCTATTATAACTTATATTTTTAATTAATTTTACAGTACTACTGTACTAATGTACCAATTGTAGAGAATTATTAGTACTGAAATTGAAATAAAGTAAATTAAGCTAAAATTATATTAACGAGGCCTACATTCAGCGCCAGAGGATAATAAATATCTTAAATTATTGTGTTTTTATAAAATGGATTCTTTTGCTATAAAATTATACTATTGCATCATATTTTCAAAATTTTGGAAAGTATAATCATCAAAAAGTAAATAAATGTGTAAACTATAGCTATTAGCTTGATGAATTGTCAACTCTAAGTGATCTGATTTAATAATCTATGTATTAAATAAAAATGTAACTGTTCCCTGTCTGTACATGAATGATATATTTTTGTTTGGGCATTAGTAATCTTATATACGTATTTAGATGCGGGTTTTAATAATTGTAGTAAGTGTCGCTTCAAATTTTGTGTTTTTTTATTCCAATCAGTTCTCAGACAAACAGTTAAATGGATACAAAATCGTGGGCTCAGTAAGTGCTTTATATAATAAGTTTTTATTAATTTTATGATTCGTAATACATCACTATTATCCCTAGTCACTAGTTGTATTAATTATGTTAAATGTTTTTAAAACCAAATATTTTTTAGTATTATTGGAATTTATTAAAGTTATTACAAGTGGATGATACAAGCAAGTACAAAATGTTTCCCACTTACAAATGAATAAACTTATATTTAGTGCGTTCCATTTTTGTGTATCCATAATAAAAATATTAAGTATACATTGCTTTTATATTTAAAAAATCCCGTAAAGTGGTAACGTGCACCCGAAACTGAGAGAACTTCAGTAAATCTAAGTATTAGCTTAATTATTCACTTATTACTTTAATGTTAAAATTAAAAATAAATACGGTAATGAAATCCGTCGCATAATTAAATTTATTTGTATCATGATAATTTTGTATCATCTCCAAGCACCATAGTTTAGTTTACCATCATAGTTTACCATCATAGTTTTTTTTTTTCAATGCTTCACAATCCTAAGTTAATTTCTATTGTCAAGTCCAGTAGTTGAGTCTACTTGATAATAGATAGCGTAAAAATATATTTTTTTAATTACAGTTGTATTTTTACTTATATCTGTAAATATATGGTTGTGGCGAAACCTCACTAATTAAACGTGGCAAAAATCGCCAGTAAATCTGTGAATAAAACCGGAGTTTTTGCATAAACTGTTTAGACTTTTTTCGAAACGTTCTAATGCTGTTGGCCGTATTATTTACAGCTTCATCGAAAGGTTGGGGGCTAGTGCTCAAGGCATTCCAAACCCGCGGAAAAACTTTTGGAGCGGTTGAAACCCAACTCTGGCCTAACGGTGGGTTTGGTATATTTACTTTACTCTTTGGAGTATCCGTTAAATCCGTTAACTAAGTGTACCGCTAGGGGTTTTAAGGCGTTGTAATTTTGATCAGTCTTTAAATTGGTCGAGGAATCGATCGGCCGACTATTTCGAGTATATCATGAAGTATAAGAATTATTAGGTAATTAATTGTTTTATGTTGTCGATACTACTTTTCTACAAGTGCTACAAGAGTTAAGAGACGGATAAAAATATGTATATTACCCAAAGCCGTAATGCTAATGGAAAAAAAAAACCGTTCTGTATCTGTAGCACAAATTACTATCAGCATTCAACTGTCAATACAAGACTGGCGTTTGTAGTCAATGAAAGTGTATTGTAGAATTTATATCGTTCGCTTTACGAAAGGATTTAGCTTGTCCTTTGATGTATTGGTTATGTGAATGAAACTAAAGTACATATTTGTTGTGTATATAAAAACTAACAAATTCAAATTAGAAAAAACTTAACCCTCTATTCATAAATAAACACAATATAATTCTAATAAAATGCTAAATTCATGTAAGTGTGCAAATTCTTAATTATTTGTAGTACAGTTTTCAACTTAAAATTAACAAATACACTAATGTTTTATTAGTTTTTCGAGGGTTACTCGGAGGCGAAGAGCCACCTACCAAAGTGCTAGAAGTGAGATCTGACAACTACATCTCAAGACCCATACACTTTAGGAAGGACTCCATGATATTATATGGACCCAAAGGTCCTGCAGAAAGAAATACAAAAGACAAGTGTTATGAAATTGTACTACAGAAACCCTTTACGGAGACACTGCATCAGATGTACAGGTGAGTGCAGTGTTTATGTAATTAATTTTGTCTATGATATTTAATAAGTATATACAATATTGAACTCTGTACTTTTTATTATCACAAAGTAATGTAAGTATATACATTCAAATAGTAAAGTATTATTTAGTTGCATAGTAATAAAATTATTTTGTTGTAATCCACTAAATATTTATTAATAATTTATAGGAACTAAACAAAGTACTGACTAAAATGTTTTTTTATGTGAGCTGAGATAATACTTTATAGCGCCTTCATTTCTCACAATTTTCCCAAATAATCCCAAAAAAAACTATTTAAAAAATAAATAAAAGAAGTATTTAAATAAACAATCAACATGGTGTCAGATGTAATTATTTTAAAATATTTTTTGACACTATATACTATATTACAATAAGTCATATTAATGAGGATTGTTATTTACATTGTAATCCATTGAAATGACATTGATTTTATGATTCATTCTATTGACATTTAGTGACTTGGATCACATGATATCTAAAGAACAATTCACATCTTGGGATAAGTTTTTTTTACTTCACATGCACTGATATATTCTGACTTACAATATTCTTATTAATACTATCAATATGAAGGTTTCATATTATCTCTTGGTACATTGTTGGTAAACCCAAAATATATTTTAAACTTTTGCATTTAGTACACATTATTAATGTAGTTAAATGGGTGTGAACATGACAAATGGAAGCAACCTAGTCCAAACATCGAGAGAGATTTGTGTTAAGACCTGTTTAATTGTATTTATAAATCCAATTATAATTCATATTTAGGGTAAGGGAGGATATTGGCTACTTTTACTTTTTATTACTATTATAATGTGGTAAAAATTGCCATGTAAAGTAGGTACATGCAGTTATTACTGGGCTACTGGGGAGACAATCTTCTTAGTATTCCATGGATTCACTGTGCGGGTGGTGTGGCCATTATGTAGTAGGAGTAGTAATAGTGTAGATTTAAGAAAACTCTTTCTAATGTGGACTTATAATCCCATTGCTAGTAATGCACTATGTCAGGTTGACCTCCATGTGGTTCGACCTGAAATTCAATATGTTAAATTTCCTACAATGGATTGACTGGTCAGACCTCTTGCTTATCTTATCATCTTCGACTGGTGCCTTGCTAGCGTAAAACGTCGGCGGGCGCACCATTCCATTATCATCCATTAAAAAAATGAGGTTTAACACATATCTTCACTATACATGATAATGTACCCTTGAATGTGTTTAATGTAAATATATTGTTTTCAGTTTATTCCGATCAGAAAGTCAAGAGATTTCGGAAGAAAAGTTCACTATATATGTAGAGAAAATACCATTATACATTGAAATAACTAAAGAGGTAAAGCATTGTTATTTGTATTATATTTTACTTGTTTATATCTGTATGTGTGGTATCAATATATCTATCTCATTCAAAATAAGATGTGTGAGATGTGTCTGGAAGATGCATATTATGTTGGAATATACCACTATTATTAATTATCTCAACTTTCATGCGCCTATGTCAGTATTCAGAATACAGTCTATGTTCACGCCAAATTTTATTAAGATCCGTTCAGCCGTTTAGTCCTGAAAATGTAATAAACAGTCAGATACGCAATTTAGCTTTTTTATATCATGGATTAGCAGCGCCCGCGTTTTCAACCATATTCAAATTTAAAATAAATGGCGACTGTATCGTATTGCATTTTCTTACGTTAATTCAGATATTTTTACTTATTTGGTTTGTATGATTTTAAAGATTATTAAGGATGGCAGTGTGGTTTATAAAATTGGGCAATAAAATGTAAGAAGAAACGAAACTCGTCAGCTTTACCCCTCCGATCGATCCCCCGTCCAATTCAAACGAGGATCGATATTACGACGGCCTGAGCCGAGGTTCGAACCCCTAGTGTTGCCCTCAGACTAAAGTCGTATCCGTCAGGCGGTAGTTGGCCTTCAGCCGCTCCATAAGTCTTTCCGCGGGTTTGGAGTGCCATCTGCACTCGCCCCCTATCGTCCGGTGAAGCTGTAAAGGCCAGCTGCGGGTAGCAGCATCAGAGTAGTCCGAAAAAAAAACTCTTCAGCTTTATATGATTGTATAAATATTCCAAGTCATAAATAAACACCGCTTAGTTTACTTTGTAATAAAATCGAATTATTCTAGCAATAATATTGAATAAACACCGTGATTACATAAATTGTTATGTTCCGCCAAGATACATTTGTAGCTCTATTGGAAACGAATAGCACGGGTCTATAAATGATTGTTGATAACGTTTGTTTGTATGTCTTTATCATGACCTCTACAGAATATCGTTATTAAAACGTAATTTCTATGAAAACATAGTAATATATGCGAAAGTGTTTTGTTTTTTTTTTGAGACTAAATGGGTGAAATTTCTTGTGATAAGTTGTATTGTTGTAAGTAGAAAGCGCACAGACATAGGCTATCTTTTATCTTAAAAATAGCAGCCGAAATCGCATTTAACATCTAATTTGTCTTTGAATTAACTATTTACAACATATTGTATATAGCTATATGTAATATCATTTTTACTATTCTATAGTCGGTACTATGGAAAATATATATATATATATATATATATATATATATATATATATATATATATATATATAATGTACCTGTTCTGTAAACAGAAAGATTACATAAGTACATACTTATAACGAAGCTATAGGTACAGTACAAAGAATGAAACCAGTGATTATAGTATTACTGTGATATCGAGGCATTTTAAAAGCATTTGTAAGTTAATTAACCTTACAAAATTTGTTGTATTCAATTTTATTAAATCTCAAACAACTTTTGTTTGCAGTGCACCATACCAACTCTACAGAAACTTTGTGATATACTATCAGAACATCAAGCGTGGACAATAGCACATATAGTAGCCCATTTTGGTCTGTGTGAGCTATTCAATGTCGCTGAGGTACAAAAGTGTATTGATTCTGTCGATCCCCATACAGGAGCCACTCCATTAATGGTTAGTATAACTTATGAGTAAGAGTATATATGTCATCACTCCTTTTAACTTATTCATAGACAATTTTCAGAGTATTTTATCGGAACCTGTATCAAAACAATCTGTACTAATTTATAAATTAGTAAATAAAGGTTTAAATCGGTAATATTTGTATTTAGAGTAAATTCAATTTTAGATGTAATGTATATATGTAAGCGTGTAAAAAAAAAACTTATTCATACGTCATGTAAGACAGTACATAATAAATACTATTGTAACTGTTAACGGAGATTGGGAATTCACAGACATTGTCGACATTCTGGTGTAAACAATACTTGACATACCTAACTACATTTCGCGGGGTAGATCTATACCTACCATTAACTATTGTATATATGTATAATATAGTATACGTGCTACCCGGCTTCGCATGGTTATACATGTATTATAAATTTATAACTTCCTCTCAAATCACTCTGTGTTGCAAAAAACTGCATTAAAATCCGTTGCGTAGTTTAAAAGATATAAGCGAACAGACAGCCTAAGCGACTTCATTTTGTAAGGCAAGATTGGAATCCAATCTGGCAGATAGCGAGCCTACTGTTTGCACTAATATTATTTTTTTTCTGTCACATCCCCATCTTGATTACTTAGCGGGGCGGATGTCTGAGATATTTAATCAATAAAATAAGTAAAATGTAAATCGAGACATGTGATATCGATAGCATTCTATCCCGCTTTATCTGTCCCTTAACTTATCCATTTCCAACCGGATTCATATTTAATCTAGGGTTCCACTGAAGGTTTTTTTAAATACGGAAATTGACATAGTTAATACAGGTTTAAAAATTTTGTAACTACATAAAACGATCAATGTTATAACACGTGATTTGTCATAACACACAATATTATTTTTTATATACTTATGCAAATATATCGTATACCATTATATTGAAAAAAAAAAACATGTTTTCTATTATTGGTACCTATCAGTATACGTCAGAAATTGTCGGGTGTAATGATTTAGTTGTAATGACGTAGTTCGCTGTTCCAAACAATAATATTTTAAGTTTTATATTTATTAAGTTAAGAGTAATAGTCAGTAATAGTTCTAGCAGCCTCGTCTTTATACTACATATATTTCCGTATAATTAGACTTGTACTTTAGTAATATTATAAATATGAAGCTGTATTGTCGGTTAGTCTGGATTTTCTTAAATTCTCATGAAAGGCACTATGAACACATATAAAGTGACATCTGTAATACCACTCTGACTCAACACTGAAAGACATCCGTGATACCACTTTGTCTCATGACTAAAAGGCATCCGCGATACCACTTTGTCTCATGACTAAAAGACATCCGTGATACCACTTTGTCTCATGACTCAAAGACATCCGTGATACCACTTTGTCTCATGACTAAAAGGCATCCGTGATACCACTTTGTCTCATGACTAAAAGGCATCCGTGATACCACTTTGTCTCATGACTAAAAGACATCCGTGATACCACTTTATCTCATGACTAAAAGGCATCCGTGATACCACTTTGTCTCATGACTAACAGACATCCGTGATACCACTTTGTCTCATGACTAAAAGACATCCGTGATACCACTTTGTCTCATGACTAAAAGACATCCATGATACCACTTTGTCTCATGACTAAAAGGCATCCGTGATACCACTTTGTATTATGACTAAAAGTCATCCGTGATACTACTTTGTATCATGACTAGAAGACATCCGTGATACCATTTTGTCTAATGACTAAAAGACATCCGTGATACCACTTTGTATTATGACTAAAAGACATCCGTGATACTACTTTGTCTCATGACTAAAAGACATCCGTGACACCACTTTGACTCATGACTAATAGACATCCGTGATACGACTCTGACTTATGACTAAGATGTCATGCTGCTTATCCGGTAAGTACACTATCTAATCTACATCCTACGTCTGAAACACAGTTCACAAAGCAAGTTGGTTGGCGGCTGAAATGATTACTGTTAAATGTACCCACGCAGATGACTTGACAGTGTACCTCTGGTAAAAATAGACTTAATATTAATAATCATATACAGACACGACAGTTTTTCTGATGGGGGTAGTCAGATGTAAAATTTTGTGGTGAATGCTATACTCCACGTGTCAAACTTCACCCACTTCTTTATTTTTATTTATCATCGATGTTTCTTTAACCGGAGACCAGTTAGAAATAGTTTTTACACAGATTTTTTTTTGTCTTTATCAGATTTTTACTTACGACCTTTTTGGTGTAAGTCGGGGTAGCAAAGTATTAAGTCACGACACACGAGGTGATATAACCTTGTATATTTTATCTTTGTTAAAAAAAGACTAATGTTATTATCGTTTAATGACATCAGCTGGCTACAATCTATTGTGTGAATCCAAGAATGTACTTAATACATCAGTGCGTATTGTATATGTTAATCTTATTAATATTATAAACTCGAAAGTTTGTAAGTATGGATTAATGTTTGTTACGCTTTCACTTAAAAACTACTGTACGAATTTTGATGAAACTTTACTGTAATATAGCTTATACATCAGAATAACATATAGGCTATAGTTTTCTTGCGGGTAAAACCGCGGGCACAGTTAGTATATAATAAACAAATTTTACTACTGCATGTAGCTGTTGAATCATTAAATGATTCACATTACAGTCAGTTAACAAACAGACAGACAGATACACATATAGATATTTACACTTTCTCATTATATATATTTTTTATATTATAGTACATCAATATTCATAAGATCCTAAATTATTTCATATAGTCTTAATATGAACTGAAATTATTCGTGAACTATTTATGTATTCAAATTTTTTTCAGGTGGCTGTGAAAACCTCCAATGTGCGCATGGTACAAAGTCTTATTTCCTTGAAGTGTTCATTAAATACCGTCGACAATGACGGCAACACAGTGTACCACTACGCCGCCGGCAGTAACAAGGAAATTATCAATGTATGTGGAAATATTTATAAGTTTTTTTAAGTAATTTATTTATAAAGTATATATAGTACGAGCCAAAAATATATAAATATGTTATATTTATATATTTGTTTTTTGCGTTCCTTTAGTTATACTGGCTGGTTTTGTAATGGGTTATAAAAATAATAGAATATTGCTCTTGACTGCGCTAATGGTATACGCTGGCCGGGCATCAGTAGAAGATGCTAGAATCTGGATGAGATCAGGCTAGATTTCGAAGAGTGGTACGACGACGGCATTGCGTACCAACAGTAACTTCGGTATTGGCCACCAGTACTCTTTCCTCTTCCGGATCTTTCTGTCTTGATCTTCTTGTATCATCTTTGCTTATAGAATGTTGCTCCCGTTTTTATAAATAGTATATTCTGCCGGAGAACTAGTGAGCTGATAGGGCGAGGATGAAGTTACATTAGTTAGCCAAGCGGGACGAGTTTACCACACGTTGTCAATAATAGAAATAAAATATTTGACTTTGCATTGTCATTGTTGAATTTAACATTTAGTAGTATTTTTAGTTTCAATAAAAAAATATGTAAAAAATATTATTCATTTTTTTTAGATTACTTTCTAAGTTATTTTAAATAATAGAAGAGATTGCGTTAGCGATAAGACCGCCTTCTGTACCTTCTTCTTTCTTTAATGTATTGTTATATATTATTTTCTTTTTATGTATCTACTTTTAATATTGGTGCAATAAAGAATTATAAATAAATAAAATAATAGGTAAACTGAGCCTAACGAGACGCAGTCGTATGAAACTGTGTACGTTTATTTTTGAAATATTTTTCGAAATCGAAACTGTACTAATTTTTGTTTTCAATTTCGTAACAGGCTTTCATTACACTTTAGAATATAAATTCTCGAATTTTAACAACTAAATTTGAGAATTACTGTTTTCATGTTTAGTCAAAACTTGGGAATATAAATTCACAAGTTATTCAAATGTGTTTAAATTAACTTTGAATAAATAATATATCTATTTTATTCACAAATTTAGTTTTTAGAATTTTAGCTTAGCTGTAGTTAGTTTTATGTTGTTACAGGCTTTGGCAGCAGCGAAGGCTACATCACTCAATGTATACAACAAGCAGGGCTACACGCCGCTGCATATGGCATGTCTCGCGGATGCTCCAGACTGTGTCCGCACGTTGCTACTCGCCGGCGCGGATGTTAACCTAGGTGCGGCACGACGCACCACCAGCACTTCACCTGGTGAGTATCGATAATCATAAATAATAGTTATGACACAGGAGTGTTAAATACACTTGTTAAAAGTGAGACACGTTCCTTGGTAAGGTATATATTAAGATCAGCTTCAAGTGAAAAAAACGTAATACAAAGCATAGCATAACAAAAACAATCACTATAAAGAAAAGGAACATAACGTCAAAATATAAAATACAATAATATATAAAAAACTATTTTATAGGATGCCTTCAGCAATAGTTCTAAATTAATCAGAGCCGGTATTATGTTATATATAAAAAGAAAGCCTGATTCACAGATTTATCAATGCTCAGCCTAATCCCTTGAACATAAAAAGCTGGTTTTATTTCACGGACGTTGTTTTTAAAACTTAGATGTGAAAATAAGAAATGATTTTTTAATGAACACTATTTCTTAATAGTGTCCGTAGGCTTCGTTTAGTTTAGGACTTGATAAACTCTTTTAACTACTCGATAAACGGGCAATTTTGAATACAATTATCCAAAAACAAAACATTGTTAAACCAAGGTCGTCACGTTATATTCAACGAGGCAGTATATAATTTAGTGGTCTGGTAGTTTTACGTAAATTCATCTGCAACAATATATAATATAGGAAAAAAACTCATCCGACCTAAACCTATAATCAGAAATAGAGGTAGTTACCGAGACTTGGGTACTTTTAACGTGTGTACCTTCCGCATAGAATATTTGTAACCAACATGGTAGGAAACGAACTTACCGATATTTCTCAGAGTAATAAAAAATATAAATTTCATACAGATTCTTTACTTTTGCTGTTTATCAATGGAGGTTCTAAATAACTAGCCTAACGCGCACTTCGCACTTAATATGATTTATAAATATGTGTTGCTATAACAGAATGTCTTTAAATGCTTCATTCAAGAATTTCATGATTTTTTCCACTTCCTCCATTCTTGGCACAGCTGGTCACATTTGTGAGACTTCACCCTCCCTAATGTGACGTCATGTGTTTAGTATATTTATAAAATACTAGGTGTTCCCGCGACTTCGTCCGCGTGGAATTTAACTTTATTTTTCTAAAATAAAAGCAGCCTAAGTTACTCCTTATTATATAAGCTACCTGCCAAAAAATTCCTGCCAATTCAGAGATTAGCCGGGACAAACAGACAGGCAGACAAAAATTAAAAAAAATGTTATTATGGTGTATGTAGCGTATTTATATTCATATGCATTTACTAAAAAACAGTTATTTCAATATTACAAACAGACACTACAATTTTATTTATATGTATGGAAGTAGTTTAAATTGAGTGTTTCAATACTAAAATATATTGAATTTGGAAATTTGACGTCACGACATTTAGCACTCCTCCCACTTCTTGTAACACTTCTTCGACCCCTCTCCACTAAACATGTTTCGTAATGTATGGATTCCTTACTTATTGGTGCACGTGATTGTAGTAACCAGTCTTGATAATTGATTGATAAACAGCTTTCTTCCAGGTATCGTCGGCGACTTGCTTCAAGACAACCAGCTGAAATTATATCAGCAGGACATGAAACACGGTGGCAATCCACTCCACTGGGCGACATCTAGAGAAGTTATCGAGGCGGTGGTCGATAAGAACTGTGATATAAACGCCCTCAATTTCGATGGACGTACAGCTTTGCATATTATGGTGCTACGAGGTCGATTAGAGTGTGCTATAGCTCTACTATCGAGGGGCGCAGAGCATTCCATAGGCGATAATGAGGGGAACACAGCTTTACATTTGGCAGTGAAACAAACGAATATATCTATCGTACAAGCGCTGATTGTGTTCGGAGCGAATTTAGAAGCGAAGAACAATGAAGGTTTTACAGCGAGGCATTGTGTGTCGGCATCAGTTGGCGCGACTAGCAGTGTTTATGATAAGACTTTGTATATTTTACATGCTGTTGGAGCTAAAAGGTGAGTTTCGTTGTAAATACACACAGAATAAAGTTTCTTGTTGTCCTCTCAGCTGAGACTATGTTGTAAATGGAACGTAGAGTTATAAAATGTTATTACTTTCTCACCTTGTAGGGTCTGACTATACAAGGTGGGAAAAATGCAATAAAATCACAGGATAAACCGGTATGTCATCTTAGTTCTGTGAAATGACAATGTATCACGTATGTGTATGGTATCACGGGTGTCACATAATCGTAATATCTGTAGTGCTACTCATGTATATATGTAAGTGACGGTTACCACTTACCGCTTATGGCCACGTTGGTCGCCAGTACGCCATTCCAATTTATATACCCGCCAAGAATTATACAGCAAACTATTATCAATAATAATTGTAATGTTATAACTATACTCAAGTTACTCAGCATATGCCAATATATAATTAATAACTCAGCAAGTAAAGGGGGTAAGGGGTTGTTATTAATGTAGACTGATGAGATTCCATTGCTAACAAGGTATATCAGATTGACATTCAATCGGTCCCACCTGAAAACCATCTTTATAAATCCTAGTATATTTGCCACAATAGGCTAACTGACCTGACCTCAAATTCTTCTTATCATCCTTAATTGGTAACCTGCCAGCGTAGACCACAAACGCAGGCAGGTGCACCATTCCATTATCTTCTAGCTCAGCAGAACTCAGCAATTCACGATATTTTAATACTGTTCTATATTTGCTCAGTGATACTTCTAATATGATTATCCACAGTATTTTCCCTCTAACAATAATAAAGACTATGTTCTATACAGGTGTTTAGTCAAATCCGGCCATATGTTGTTTTTGTCTTTACAATATGCGTACACGGAAAAACAACACAAAACACAAAAACAACATCATATATACATTAACGTACATATTCTTAAGTTGCGGTTGAAAATAAAGTTCGTGTTATTAAAATACAACGTGTAGTATATGTTGTCGAATATTCGCCTCTAGGGCTTCGGCTTCGCACTTGTACAATGAGTGTAGGTTCTCTATTTTTTAAATAGGATGTAGTCAATGCTATTCGCTGATGTAGCTCTTAAAACATCAACAGGGAGCGATGAAATAATTTCAATGATGATGATTGACAGCCCCGACTGAAAAAATAGTCACACATTAGTTTACTAACATAAGTCAAGTAATTGTTACTAAATAAATGTACTCGTATATATGAAAGAGAACCATTGAGGTATTGTACGAGATTTGATTAGAGTGATATGGTCCGTGCGTTGCAGATGCGCGGCGGACATGTCCGGGTGCCGTGCGGGCTGCCTGCCGCGAGGTGAGTACAACGGCGTGCCCCCGCCGGCTGTAGCGCGCGCGCCGCAACGCAAGGCCGTCAACGACATGCTCGCGGTGGCCGCAGTCATACGCGCCGCGGCACAGGACGAAGACAAACGCGGACGGTTAGTTCACTGTTATTCACTATCGCAGACTACTAATAAATATGTTTTTATGTAGGTGGAATGACTATCAACGATAGTCCACCTGATGGTAAGCACACAGGCATGAGCAACACTACGGACATCACGTTATCATGCGACGCCTGTGATACCGCATGTCATGCCTCTTATGAACTCCGATATTTGAACCCTATAACCGAAACTCAGCTTACGAAGCTTTGTGACTGAAATAAGTGAAACCGAGGTATCTACGCAGAAAACTTTATAAAGTTTACCTCGGATATGACAATATTGTTTAAGAATTTATAATGTCATGTCATGTCAGTCATGATACTGACAAAGATAGAAAACAAGGACAAAATTCAGTCGATTTCTTTCAGTTAAGTAGATTTTGTTTGCATTAGCGTTCAATTAATACAACTAAACCGACTCTAATCTTTACACTCATCAGTAAGTCCAATATGTGTGTAATGTCTACTTATAAATAAAACTATCGTACTGATTAAGAAAACTGACATATTTATAATCTCTTAATGTTTTAATACATACTACTACTTTTAGCAATTAATATACAACTGTAATGCCGTTGACATTAAATTCAATTTCCTTTTACAATTTCATGGCATTTTCTCTTCATAAATTGTGCTGGTTTATAATTTATCACGTGCTAATACATATAAGTCGATATGTAATCCGTATTTAATTATTGTAGGCTCCTCTGTCTGGACGGTGGCGGCATTAGAGGCCTGGTACTCATCCAAACATTAATAAATCTTGAAGAGGCTGTCGGTAGGCCCATTATTGACTGCTTCGACTGGATCGGTGGAACCAGTACTGGAGGGATTCTTGCGTTGGCATTATCATGTGGCAAGTCATTGAGGGAATGTCAGAGATTGTATTTTAGACTAAAAGAACAAGCCTTTGTTGGTATGAGGCCGTACCCATCAGAAACATTAGAGAATATGCTCAAAGAAGCTCTAGGTAAGGCTGCTTTTTGTTTGTTATTGAAACATGCTACTAAAGATTAAAATAGATACTGTTGTAGTTTTATTATGTAAAAAAGGTAAAAGGAAAACTATAGAAAAAGACTTGGTATGGTATTGGTGACATATGTTGGGAAAAGATTGACAAGACAGAATTTAAGTAGAAATAAGAATGTACTATAAAAGAACTATAATATTAAATACAAATTTAAAAAATACATTTCCTATTAGCCAGATACAATAAATATACTAGTGGTCGACTGTATTTTCATTTAAACTAGCTTTGAATCGAAATATTTATCAGTGTAGGAAATAATAATCTATCAGGTACTCAGGGCGTTTGGGAATCCTGAAATGAAAGTGTGTATGCATAATATGAATTGGATAGATTAAGCAACAGTCCGCTTAAACATAGATCCTATAGAGTTTTGTTTTTTTTGCTGACCTCACGTAGGATAAAGATATATTTGCTACACTTATGAAACTGGACAATCAAAAAATGTAATAATAATAAAATGTAAATAACAATCAAAAAATGTAAATAATAAAAGGTATATAATGCAAGATGATTTTTTAAATTTAATTGCGATTAAAGGATAATTGATACTTCAATCAAATTCCCTATAAAATAGTAGTTTAGCAATGATATTCATTATGCCTTATAAAATACAGATCTGGCAAATTATATATTATAGGCACAGAAACTGTCATGGCCGATATCAAGCATCCGAAGCTGTGTATATTGGCAGTGCTGGCGGACAGGAAACCAGTGGACCTTCACATATTCAGGAACTACCAATCGGCACAGGAGATACTTGATGAACACAACGGCACATTAAGTAAATAGTTAACTTAGATCTAGATACAATTACATCACGACTGTCGGTTTTTTTTATAGATAACTAGTTGTGCCTGCAGTTTCGCCCGCATGAAATTCATGGCCTATGTGTTAATCCGATGTATAAGCTATATTACTGTAAAGTTTCATCAAAATTCGTTCAATAGGTTTTGCGTAAAAGAGTAACAAACATCTAGCCATCCATAAAGTCAGCTTTAATATTGACAGAACACTGAAGGCGTTTGCATGAGGAGGAAGTTAATTATATGAGTCTAAAATCCACATCTCTATATTATCTGTCAATTTAAAAATATTCATAAATTTAAGAATAACCAAACTATTAATATTATTTAATAATAAAATCTGGTTTTCCTAAAATTTTTTCCCGAGAATATTTTGATACCATATATTCGTTTCGTTTTTAACTTTTTAAATTATCATTTACAAATGTTGAATGTTTTTGAGTCAGAATTGTCGGATATAAATATTTCAATACAACGGTTTTAATAATGTTACTTCGGTAGGTCCACGCGCAGAGGCTGGTGATCAGGTGTCAGTGGTATCTCTGCCGGCGCCTCCCCCGCCCTCCGAGCAGCTGGTGTGGCAGGCCGCACGTGCTTCCGGTGCTGCACCATCCTACTTCCGGGCTTCCGGCAGGTATGTCAAATATTTCGGTAGCAGACCACCAAGTAGTGCTAGTGTCTCGTTCAATGCTTCATATAGAAGGGACTAATAGATAGTTGACATGTTAGCTTATCCCGTAATTGCCATGTACCTTTCAAACCTTCCACCACTTTCCAAAATTTGTTGCTTTGCTTTCATTCTCATACCGTTCTACTACTTACTCTATAAGAGTAAGTAGTAGGAAGGTATGAGACTGAAATACTAATACAGACAACTAAGGAAAGAGTCTCCTATAGGTAAAATTATACTGCCATCATCAATATTATGATATACATGAAAGCAAATAAAATCAAATTAAAAATAATTTATTCATGTTGGACGTTTTAGCAGCTTATGAATTTTCATTTCATGCTAGCATTAAATGAAAATTCCGTACATGAACAAGTATTATTGTCGTGCCCGTTTGTCATAATGATGAGTAATAACCCGCAAATGCAGAATTCAATATGAGTGTCCTAAAAAAATATATTAATAATTCTGGATAATTTACGCATCGTCATCTAGTCCCAAACTAAGCAGACCTTGTAGGTACTCAGTTTATCTTGTATTAAAGCATGCTTATCTTATTCCAGATATTTAGATGGCGGATTAATGGGAAACAATCCTACATTGGATATCATGACGGAGTTGTCAGAATTGAACCAAGCACTCATTGCTACCGGACAACACGATGCAGCTAAACAAACCAATTTAAAAGTGGTCGTATCTTGTGGTACAGGTGAGCAATTCCTGTTATTTCTTCCTTAGGTATTGTGTTTACGTCACTTGATGTCTAAGGTGACTCGCTAACGACAGTTGATAGGAAAATGTTAATAACATTAGCTATATGAATGAATGAATGGTAAATCAATCTCGAATTCAGTACTCATGATTATATCTAGCAAGATATAATGCATTGGGGCATCAATGAAGTCAGGACTATTATACATTATGTCGAATTAATCATGACAGTTTCCTGGTGGAACCGTGTAGCATCCCATTACTAAAAATCCCCTACCCAACTCCAAGACCGTATCACGTCTGTAACAGTATATTATTATGTTACAGGTTCAATACCAGTTACGAAAATAAAGGATTTCGACGTGTTCAAACCTGAGAGTTTATGGGATACGGCCAGGTTAGCTTGGGGATTGTCAGCTATCGGCGGCTTGCTTGTCGATCAGGTATGTGACATTTATTTATATAATGGCAAAGTGATTTTCAAAATCAACAACTTCATCATCTTATATTTTTACAATGTGTTTGAATTGTTTTAGTTATATTAGATTCGTTAGAAAATAATAGAAATAATGTTTATTTACATAAACATAGCATTTACTTTTGAATTGTAATTTTTATGCTTATATTAAATCGTTCGTAATATCGTCATAGTGGGATGTCCGCCATTATTAAAAAAAGGCGCTAATAAACACGATCGAGAACACGAGAATGGGCGGGTGACGGTGCGTGCGGTCTTTCTCGTTCTCTTTATCTACATTTCATGCATATTGTTTCCTGCGTGAAAACATATTCGCGCGTGGAAAGACAGTCAATAACGATGTATTCAGTCCTGCCAATAGAAGTAGAGTATTAAGTACGTAACTAAGAGGTGCGGTGCGGTGCGTGCAGGCGACGCAGGCGGACGGGCGCGTGGTGGAGCGCGCGCGCGCGTGGTGCAGCAGCGTGGGCGCGCGGTACTTCCGGTTCTCGCCGCAGCTGTCGCGCGACGTCGCCATGGACGAGCGCGCCGACGACCGCCTGCTGGCCATGCTCTGGGAGGCGCAGCTCGCCATGCGCGAGCACCGCGACGAGGTGCTCGACCTCGCGGCGCTACTACGAGCAGGTCGCTACCGTTCTCTTATTATTTCATACCACGTCGCGCGGTGGTTGCGGGTTCGATTCCTCACACGATGCAAACAATTGTATTCACGAATATGATTGTTTGTATCGGTATGTGTGTATTATGTATTTACAAAAAAAAATATAGATACATTTTCTTTGTATCAGTTTTTTTTTGTATTTGTTTGTTTTATATCAGTTCCTGTTCTACATAGTTTGGGATTAGTTCCAAGCTATGCAGTTGGCGCTGTGTAAATTGTCCTAAGATATTTATTTATAAATTATTCCTATGATCCATTCAAACTTTGCTGGAAATAAATAATAAAATATACAATCTAATCTGATGTTCATTATTTTGTTACAGATACGTAATGAATCTAGTCAAGCAAAAATGCAGGTACCTAAAAAATGCCTAATTATTAAAGCATAATGCAAATGATCTAAATAAAATCATAGTCGTTTCTCTATTATATCTTATTTGATGTTTCTATATTTTAATGTTTAACGTCTAGTCTAAATGTACAACCTACGAAAGAGAGATATAAAGCAATACAAAAAATAAGAAATGTATAGATTAAAATATAAATTTTGAAATAAATAAGAAACAAAATAACGGTTTGTAGATCAGGCTCTTGAATCTTATCTCAATATCAATTTGAATTCAATCACGTTTTGTACTCTTCCTTTGAAACACAATCAAGAGTAAAACGAATTAATCAATAGTAATGTTAGTTCGATGACTACTATATTACTACTACTACGAACTAATATGTTGATAACATAAAATTCAAGTTTACAAAAAATATCTATCTACCGCTCATTCTAATGTCGCTTGAACAAAATGATTTCAAGAGTGGGTAAACGTTGTTTCAGATAATAATCTGTTCATTTATATTTTAATGATCGCAACGTGCAATATTTGTCAGTATAATAATGTGGGTCATATAACCACAGTTTAATAACTGCAAACAGTAGCCCAATTGAAATATTTTGACGGGACAACGATTGTTGTTAACGAGCGCGCAGATTAGCGATCTCTGTATTAATTTCTGCTCTCTATTTCCAAGGGTCTTCATTGAATAAGTACGAAGTATAATAGCAGAATGTTAAAATTTGTTGAATTGTTAGTTGAATGAATTTGCAATAATCAGCAAATATTATGTTATCTCTAGTAGAGACTATACTTTATGTTTTCCAAAGTGATACCAAAATTAATTAGGTATGAAATTCATTCTAATTATACATATAATTATGTAAAAGTATATTTAATGTTTAATAATTTGTTTTTATTCTTGTAATATGCCTGTGTATCCAGTAAGTTTTTACGTTTGTTATACGTTTACACTAAAAATCGTTTACTATATAAAATCTAGTAAAAATGGACCCTGGAGTCGAACTGATGTAAGTTTTAATAGTAATCAAATCAAATAAAAATTCAAAATATCTTTGTTCATGTAGGCATATTACAGACTTTTATGATATGTCTAATCTACCGTTAGTTCGGACTGCTTCGAACTGAGTAATACTGATTTTATTAAGCTTTTTTTGTTATGCAACTTTTCAAGTGCATACGTATAATTGTGAATTGCAATATGTAATGCTATAAACTACAATATTTGTCACTAATAGAGATTTAAATGAAATTACAACGTTGATATTAATGTTACTTGCCGCTCGCCATAGAATTGAGTTGGTGACTGAAATGTAATCACTTACGAGGATTCAGTGAATTCAATAAAACAATATATTATAGGAAAATGTCAATTATGCGTTATATATTGATTATACATATTTACTGTTATAAATACTAAAATGTCAGTTGTCATCCGAACCATACTCCAACATGTGGAGTATAAAAATGAATTTAGTTATCTGTACTATTAAAACTGGACAAAGAATAATTACCTACATATAAATCTGTACTATAATTTTTTTATGTTTATTTACATACATGTAAACCTAACACGACTTCTTATGAATTGAAATTTCATATGAAAATATTTCAATATGGAATATTATTTGTTTTTTTAGAGGCTGTGAGTCACAATATTACCTCAGACATTTCGCCTGTATCGACTTTTGTAATAGACATTTAGTATGTTTGGTAGTAACCATATTATATTTCAATCATATATATATAAAATTATAGTGGGCCAATATTAGATATAGTGCCATATGACATTAATTTAGTCTTGAAATTAATTAAAAAGTGTTGTATCTCCACTTGTACTCATTAATGTTAGACGTTACTTCAATCATCACATCATTATAATAAACTGACAATCACAATATTTATTTTTATGGTAATAGATAATACTGGGTTAATCGTAAAGGTTATACAAAACCGTCCGGTTTTGTAGCAAAGTTGTCCAACTTTGCTTCTTGGATAATACAAAATATATACAAACTGTCTTGTGATTCAGTATCAAAATTACAATATTTGAAATATTGTAATCCGATTTCAACTTTATTTCTTTGTTGATATGGTTCACATTCAATATTTTACCTAACTTTCGACTCTTATATAATCAATGACTAGTTTAAAATGCGAATAAGTAGAAGTAAATTGTAAAGAATTACACAGTTTACGTTAAACAAGTAATACATTTTTAAAAGATATATAATATCTCAAAAATTGTTAATGTATATATCTATAGTGTGTCATTATCTTCTTTGTACTTGTAAGTATATTCTGGTAAAGCATTTAAAAGTTTGCAGGAAGTAATCTCTTATACGGCCGGTTATACGAAATGTAATCAATGTTTTTTTATACGTATAAGTAGGTAAAATGAAGGGATCTTATCAAGATTTTTTAATTGTGTTCTCCATCTTTTTCGTTTTATTTTCGTCTTTAAAGAAAGATACAATTATATAAATGTATATAATATCGTGAAGACGAGATATATAGCATCCCAACATCACAGTCGGAAGATCCCAACATAATGCAAATATTTGAATTGGTTACATTGTTGTATTTTCAAGTACATTATATATGTATAAATTTGAAATGTATTTATGTAGTAGTTCTCATAGAACAAGCTTAGTCTAGTTTGAGGCTAGATGGTATTGTGTTATAACCAGATCAAATTGAGTTTCTGTTACATTAGAAGAAATTCCTATAGGCAGGACTAATTTTCAATGCGTATTATAAAGTTAATAAAATAGAAAGTATATGAATAGCTATTATTGATGTTGAGTTTCTTTCAAATTTCGAAGTTATTTAAAGACTTCACAATACTTAATTTAAAAACATATGACATTAACAATTTACTTATGTTGTGGTGTGTAACACAATTCATAAATAACTCTGGCAACATTATCGCGGTGTTTATATACTTATATATAGTTTGGTATGGTAGGATTAGGTATGGCAATATTTGTATACAAACCAGTCAAATATATTCTCAAAATAGCAATATAAAATATAATTTTATAAGCAAATAATTAGGTATATAACAAAATTGTATGTATATGTACTATTAATACTTCGTTAGTAAGATGCGCACAATTTATGAGAATACATGTTGCTTCTAATGCCTAAGCCGGATATAGTTTAAGTAAATAAACAGGTATAAAGAGTAGATAAACTGTTTTGATAGTGTAACAATGTATTGTAATGGGGCTTAATTATGTATCGTCGTTGCTAACAAGTCTCATTTGAAATAGTCTATGACTACAAGCTTTGTATTGTTCGCAATTATACCTAACAGAAAAATGGTATACTTCTAATTGTAAATCTGTAAATTTTTTGTTTCCTCTTGTGTCCAGTCCTATATTTTTAAAAGATAAAAGCCAATTTTCTAATTACTGACAAACACGTCGCTCTAATAAGCGAAAACTTAAAAGTAATATTGTTTTTTTCTGAATATCGTGTATTATTTACTACTGGGTATTTCACTTTATAGTGTTTATGTGGTCGCCCTGAACCATAGAGTAATAATAGTGGTACTCCGTAGAAAATGATGGATTTACAAACATTCCTTTATTTTGATTTTATTGTTGTTGCAAGTTCACCAGTAAAAAATTTAGTTTATGTATTTGGAATGATTCATCGTGGATAATGTCTACCCCAATTACTACCGTTATGTAACAGTCGTTATGGTATTTTTTTATATTTTTATATAATGAAAATAATTTTAATTATGTTAAATATTATTATTTCAGTTAAATTATTGGTTTTGGTTTGTTTATGTACAGTGATATAAACTATAGCTATAGACAAGTAGAAGTAGGCTACTTAAGATAAAACACATTCTATTGATACTGGTAATAAAATATCAGATTTGTGTTTAGGTTACAAGGATTTTTTTTTATAATTTTAATATAATGCAAAATTTTGGTGGATATCTGCATAACGCAGTCAAGGAGCTGGTTATTTTAATGTATTATGAATCAATTGTGATAATAGCATGGTCCATTGTTATAAATATAATAAACGAGCAATGTCGTCGAGATTTTTGTTTTATTTAAAACACAAATAATTTGGAAAAGCACTTTATTTTTATATAAATTTTCCTCTATACTAAATAATCGCTTATACAAAGACTCAATAATATCACATTTCTGATGTGGATATTATCAATCCACAGACTAAGCTAAAAACTAAAAAACAATATTAATATTAAATTTTCTACTAGTCTAGGAACCAACGGTAGGTAGAAAGTGTCAACAATATTGTAGAAATGATATTGAAAATTATTATTTAATGTCTAAGATTGACAATGATAGAAAAAAAGAGAAGAATGATACAACGAACTAACCAACAGGTCTACTTTGGAGTCTCATTTAGATATAAATATCGACTATAAGGACTATATGAATCCGGTTGGAGACTATTCTTATGAAACGTAATCAAGAAAAAATCGTAATAAATATTATGAGTTTTTTCATTGAAAACACTATGGAATTGACTAATGATATTAGTGTATAATTGTAGAGTATAAGAAGGTACGTAAGGGCTCAATGCTATTATAGGATCGTGATTATATTCCTGAGTAGACCGGCTGATCTTTACAACTATGTTATTTCAGAATTGGAAAATGATGGATATATCAGAAAACTTATTAAGTTTGGTGTACATAACCTTAATTAATGAACAGGCACGTGTGGTTTACATAACATTAGATAGGTATAAACTGTATTTATGATTGTGACTGATTGTGTATTTACAAAAACCAATAAAAGTAGATGGCGTTGTGTGATATGGTCATAATCATTATTACAGTTAACAAAGTATTATACACACTGCAATTTAAACATCATTTCTACAATCGACAAAACAAATTAAACATAACTTCATGAATTATTTCTAGTGCCTCTTTTTAATTGTAACATTAAGATTTGCCGAAGTGATGCCGTTAAAAATATAACATTCTTCTGTAATTTTGAATAAATAAGTACGTCAAAGTTTGAGATTCTAAATATTAATAAAAAAAACTGTTAATAAGTACCTACATATGGATGCATTATATTTGAGCCCGATAGTGTTAGCTATGGCAGATATAAAAGAAACATTAGATGCTTTCCTTTAAATAAAAAAATCGAAAGCAGTATAATAATAGTGCTATTACATATATGTACTTATATTTAAATAAATAATATAACATAGGAACGTAGAATAAGTTACAGCCAAAATGTAAACATACGAACGCTAATCACAAAATTTTGAAAATATTTTAATTAAATCGAGACACCGAGGCACTACAGACTATAACTAACCATTCACGCTTCACTGACGGTTCTAATAAGTCACAAAAACATTCTTATATAAATAATAATTAAAACCTATTGAGTACGAAAAAACACATTTCTTCGAAAAATTTTACAGATTTTTATAAAGTATTGTGTTCCTTGGAAACTCCAAAAACAATTAAGCGATGTGAATCAAAAAAGATATATAAATGTACTATTTCAAGGCTGATATACAGCGCTTTAAATAGTAAACTGTACATTATTGATTTCAGCCGCTTAATTGTATATGTATTGCTATATTTTCACTTGTATTGTTTTGTGCTCACTATACATTTTTCAGTAGATAATAATTTAAAATTTAAAATAAAATTGGGAAAAGTATTTTATCTCAAATCTATTTTTTTACCGTAATATATACGCAAGAGCGCATGAACAATGATTACATAAAAATAGCCGGTTAAGCTGTACTTCAGAAAGAAACTTAAGAATGTCTTGTTGCACAAGATACAATTATAATAATACATTAATTTTATACCAATCATTTGACACAACCTAGCTTATTCATAAACGTTTTTACAATAAGATAACAAGTCTTTTCCGTAACACTATTTGAAATATACAGGAAGAACATATTTCCCAAACCATCATTTATGGCGAATGAGAGGAACACAAAAGGGATAGGAATATTTTCACATCAAGTTTTAAATAAGGAATTATTTTGAAGATGGTATTTCTGACAGGCTCACTTGAGTAGAATACTAATTTAGGTTAAGTATATAAGTACAGTTCTTGTAATACCCATAATCCCAAGTAGAAAGTAACATATGTAGACTTAAATTGAATTCGTGAGTTAATTTGAACAAGTGACTAAAATTGATATTATTATTTAATTTGCTGTCTGGGAGACATAATTTATTGTCTACTACTTATCTTAATGATACTAATATATAAGTAGTACGTAGGCATATTAGGCAACGAAAGTTTACAATAAGTACTAAATCAATACCATCTCAAAGATATCCCTTAAACAACATACGTACTTAAATTCACACACTATTATATGATAGGTATAGGTCACACACTTGATACAAACACACGACTGGTCCAGAGCCGTCGTAAACATGGGGGAGCGGACACGAGACTATATTCCCTGGACTCCTTTATCGAAATACAAGTCCCTTATCGCATACGCATTTGGTAATATAATGCTATTTATCACAAATTCAATTCATCGCGAACTTAATTCATTAAGAACTCAGTCCGTCATAAACTTAACTCACGCGTGTCTCAATAAACATTATCGAGCTCAATTCAATATATTAACAAATGCAGACAATAAAGTAAAAAATGCAATTCAATTTATAGTCGTTAATAATTATAAAATTTTGCGTTTCAATACTTAGATATAGATATATTAAATTTTGAAAGTTGACGTTATGAAATTTATGACTCCTTACGATCCCCTCTCCCTCACGTTTGTGACGTAATTTTTGAATGGTATGCGTGTGTGAATTAGGGCGAAAAATAGCCAGGCATCCCTTATCCCCCGGGACAACTCTGGATTGAGCGATATGACCAGATACACAGTTCGGCAGAAGCATTTTTATATAAGTGGTTGTCGTGCTTGCGTTACATTTGATATTTAATTTAAATATGGCAAAATATAAACGAAAAAGAACACATTGGTTGCCAATTTATGAATTATATATAATTCCGTATAAATATAGAACTAGTATTCTAATATATTGCAACAAACAGGTAGGTAACGAAACCCTTGTAATAAATTAAATCTTAAGAGCGTTTTTTTCAGACTCTTAGTTTTAAAAGTACAATATTTTGACAAATGTCTATATTATTAAAGTTTGGTAACTTAGGTACATAAAATCTGAATAAGTTCATTAAAAAGATGGAGTGATAGAAATTGAGGATCTATGCATACTGATTCAGGATCCACGCTTTTTAGATAGGATAGGAATAATAAAGTTATACAGGTATTTACGCTGGCTAGAGCCAGTCGTATAAATACATTGACAACTTGTAAAAAAAATTAATAATAGATAAATTATCCATCAATACAATTTCAGTCATATAATTTTCGTCCACTGACCACAGGTAAAAATAGGTATATCTACATAATTAGGACCAAGGTTTTCAACCCAGTGAAGATGTAATTTTGATAACCCGTCTTATTTATAAAAATCAAAATCTCCTAAAATTAAGAATGTCGCTCGAAAAATGGAACTAAACTGAGCAATACCAAAAATTAAGTTAATAAGTGTCTGATTTGTTTTCATAAATAAATTGGGTTAAAGTTGTTAAAAAATACAGACTTGTACACTTGCAAGATTATAATAGTAATAAATCATAACTAGAACGTCAATATTTAGAAGAAAAAAAACAAAATAAAATAATAAATTTCATAAGTAGGTACCTAGTATCTACCATAAGAATAATTTAAAATAAGTAACGCTACTACTTACTATTATTATTATAAATGCTCTATTATTGCAGCACTATTTTTCGTTATTTGTACATTTAAAAAAGTATTAAAACCTTCTTGTTTCTCTACTTCTTTCTTTTCAAGACAGTTATTTTTTTGGCACCGTTTAAATTTTATTAATATAACGAAAAATAGACGCAACTGTAAAATCTAAATTAACTCGATTTGGAATTCTAATGATTTTTACGATTGTTTTAAATAATATATGAAATGATTATTACAATGTAGACATCTTTATAGCAGTTAAAGGCACATATCTGTACTATATCGATAATGGGTTTAATCAATCAAGCTTTTTTCCTTATATAGATGTGCATATACAAATATCCAGAGTGTAATTTAAAAAGTAAAACAAGCCGAAACTTGGTTATAATATATGTGAAATTAAATAATTTTCCCTGAGGATATATAGGTAAAAAGCTGCATACAAACCGTATAACAACATTTCTTAGTATTTAAGATTAAAATTAAATAAAACAATATTCAGGCATAAAAACATTTTCATATTTCGAATGTTTAGGGAAAGTTATTTAGTGTCATGAATAAATAGGTGCAATCACTAAATTTCGGCTTGTTACACTCACACAAACTGTTGTTAAACCCCATTGTATATGCTAAATCAATCGATAGTAATCAAGTATTATATCATACACATCATTCAATCAGATATTATCAGCCAACGCACAGCCCTATGATGCCATCATCCATGGCAATCGCAACCCTATGTCAAATATCACAATTTCTTTCTATATTACATAGACTACATTTTGGTCCAATTTATACAAAGAACTACTTTTCTTTTAGATGTCATTCGTTTTCAAAATTCCAAGTAACTATTCGCTTGAGATTAATCAAAAATAAAATAAATAAATGTCTACATAGGTAGATTAAAATACTAAGGTTTAAATTGTTACCTACGTTAACGATTAATTAATTAAATTATTATTAAGTAAAATTAATTTTGTATCAAACAATACCGACAAATTAATCAAACTCAATAGAGACATTATATAATTCAATTATTTAGTATTAATTAATATTATTATTAAATTAATTGATTGATTTGTTTAATATTTTAATTGAAATATATTTTTAAACAGTCCTCTGTTCAAATTGTACCTGTAGTAGTTCTAGTTATCCGAGCTTGTTCACAGAATGATGGTAAGGCAGTCTCAATAGTCCTCTGGATATTCCATATTGTTGATGAGGTTTTTCTTTTCTTCTTTTCCCGGCTTCGCGTCTAGTAGCGTTGGTCTAATAGTTGATCGTGGTTCGAAACAGGGCTGGAACAAGAATTATTCATACATACATTTGTGTACTAATTAAACTATTAAATATACATATTATTAAACATTATTCAGATTTCATATATAAAGCGCAAATTATCAATTTGTATTCCATATCAATTCTTTAATTATAGCACCCTATCTGGTCACACTTCACGAGGGTACTCCTTACACGAGACTACGAAATTACAACATATTTTTTTATAAAAGAACATTTGAAGTTTAGTAGTCTTATACATACAACAGGTTCAGTTTTTATTAGTATTATTTATCTTAATTACTTTATTCCACAGGTCGATCATGTTTACGATAGATATCTAATGAGATATTAGACAAATAATGATACATGAGATGGCATTTTCGTAAACAGACAATAATTGTTTCTTTTTTTTACATTATATTGTAATTGTTTTGTAAAAAATGTCCAATCACCTACATGGAAAAATATAGGTAAGATCATGCTAATTGTTTCAGACATAGGTAGATATATAATAATTTATAAATCTACCGATTTCACCGCCTAATGATGATGGATTTGTTTGGTGTTTTGATATGTGGAATATAAAGATTTGCTATCAAATAATCTTTTCTGCAATCTGGTAGCTCGATTTACTACGTAGGTAGGTAGGTAGGTATTATCATGGTTGATAAGGATGAAATAATTTTATTGCAGTTACATAGAATATATGTATTGGGTTAAGTAACGCATGGATATTTATTTAGATTTAGTAACTTTTCTGTAACATTTCATAGTTTTACATTTTTATGGCCTCAGTGGTCTAATGTTTAGCACACCATTTTAAGTTCGATGGTCGTGGGTTTGATTATATTCATAACTATAATTGTTTGTATCGATCTAGGTGTGTTCATTGTATATTATGTATGTACCTATTTACAAAAAAAAACTAAGTATTTATATTAGTTGTTTAGTACCCATAATATAAGGTCTGCTTAGCTGGAGCACCATTTAAAAATTACTGAAATAATATGAATGCATACTTAACAACGTATTATTAGTAGGCGAATTAGATATAATGTACGGATTGTCTGTACATTTATACATATATTACATTGTATAAGTTGGTGGTTAGTATGAAATAAGCTTAAATTTCATGCACAGCTTAAGCGGAATGCAAAAAAATGTAACCTTAATAAAAACGATGCAAGACCCAATTTCAATCAAGAAGACTCCGTTCGAGCCTATCAACCTGCGTGGAAATTTGTAATTATTAAATAGGAAATTATAAATAGTACAGTTGTCTAACAGATATAAGTTCTATTTCAAAACGATAAATTAATAAACATTTTTTTACATACATAGTGCATCTGTGTACCTTCTATATTATATTGATATCAGTTCGTTTCAATAATAATTTATTCCGTGAAAACATGTCAGGATACACATACTTAATGAACAAACATGACGCGTCGAAATACATCGTGCAAATGTATTCAATATACTCCGACTGCCTTAAAAATTATAATTAAACGTAATCAACTATAAACAAATAAAATGTATCCAAAATAGTTTTTGTATTATTAGGTACTAGCTGTGCCTACGGTTTCATGTGTTATTCTGACATTCTGAGTTACATTTTTGATCGGTTACTCATGCTTTTTATAGAGGACTATTGTTACGTAATTATACGCCTGTAATAGGTACTGCAACCGTTAAAATCTATTGTTCTCTTAGTTTCAAAGTTGGCTATTGTTAATTAAACTCTGAATTACGGTCAAGAGAAATCACTAAGCAACAAACATTTAAACAGATTAAACAGTTCGTTTTCAGAAATGACGCAACTGAGAGCTGAACCTGAATTGTTATTCATGAAAGGCAACATAACCAATGCACACTAATGGTCGTTAATGTAAATGCATAGTAGGTACATTGCACCATTCGCACTTAACATAAAATACTGCATTATAGTTCAGTAACAATAACGATAAATTATTAAATTAATTACTACATACACCTATAAATTAATAATGTTATTAAACGTTAATCCTATGTATATATAACAACTAGCTGTATCCTATGACGTTGCTCGTGAATTCTGCTAAGTGTCTTATGTATGTATTATGTATACCTGCATCCTCTATGTACAACATTTTATACAAAACCGACCAGTATTTATAACGTGTAACAGCAAAAAACATACAGAACAATATTAGTTTTGAATTGAAATTATTTAATTCAGTTAATACATGACAAGCACACCACTCCAAGCATAAATAATTATTTATAATTATTACGTCGATTTTTTTATCTAACTCTACATATGTCTATTTCTTTGTTTAAGTCTAAATCATTATGTGATTTAAAACTATTTTAATTTTTTTGTTATTCTCATTAAGATTTTTTTTATTTGAAGGCAAATGCAAAAGGCTGTAATGGTGAATCCATTGGTCTATACTAAAATAGGTTGCATACATCATTAATCTAAGATTAAGTACTAATAAAGCGTAAGTGCATTATATTAAGTAGGTAATAATGAAATCAGAAACCATTATTAAATACTATATTTAATCAATATGCCTAGTCACGTGCAATTAAAATAGTTCTTTCATGACATTTCAAACGTAATATCTGTAAATTTTGTAGATACGTTACGTAATCAATTTACGATAAATTTACAAATGTAAACACTTCGTAAATAACAACTTATCTTGACGATGTGACTGAAAACATCTATGTTATTTAATGTAGCGTCTCATTAGAGTTAATGTTTTGATTTTTCAACTATCTACGAGTTGCAAATCATGAAATGAACAATATTCTACTCTGATATAATTAACGTAAGTTTCAATTTCGTAATACTTATAAACGTAAGGTCTATATCTTCATGTTTAGAGCCCGATCAATGGCGGATATGTAATTATATAAACTTTTTAACTTCTCATTACAACATTCTAAAAAGCATGTTCAAAATAATATTGGAAATCCAAATTATTGGTGCCAAAAAAAAGAAGATATATTTGTAATTATCGGTATGACATGGTACGAAAGTATTTCTATATCAATACACGTGACTATATAAAGATTAAAATGTTATCTTGCGATTCAAAACGATAACAACCATAGCGATCGATGGGATACGCTGCAATACAATTTCTATCAGATGCATGACACAATTACGTACTAAATGTATTCTTATAAAACAGAACAACTTTTACCAAAGGGAATATATAAATATAAAATTAAATTTACAACTTTTCATTTTCATATTATTTAAAATTAACTTTTTTTAAACGAAACTTCCACTTTGTTGAGATAATAGGATCATGTCAAATTTCATTAAGTGAAAATATTGTAATTCACCTCCCAAAATTTTGGAACGCTATATCGCAGGAAGACAAAGGAACTCAGAATCGGCACTTGGACTAATGTCTCTATTTATTATGAAGGCTTCTTTCTTATCCCAAAAATAAATAATTTCACCGTAGACCACTATGCAAAATAGAGAGTGTAGACATTGTAATATGACATCACATTCCATTCCCTTGTTATACAGCGTCACTTCGTCTACATCCTCCTCACCCCTTAATGTATGGTTTAACCCTAATTATCGACATATTTGTCATATTGTACTTACAGTTTCGCATATGTTCATGTTGCAACAGTTTTCTATCGTGATCTCGCATTGATCAGGGCGTGCTGTCAGCGGAGTTACATTCTTGTTTACGATTATTCTCTTCTTAATCCTGTAATAGATGTTATTTCATTTTTTTACAAATGGAACGTTAATGTGAAATGATTGGATTTTTTTTATGGTTGATGGTGGTTGATTGATGGTCCTCCAGTGAACCTGTCCGGGTTAATGTTATCGGTTGATAGGATATTAATAAAGGATAATAGAATGATAATGAAATCCTGGGTTGAATTATGTAATATTATTTTAATAATAATTCGGACCATTTAGTAACAATTACAAACTCTGAAATAGTTCATACAAAATTTTAATCCCATAGATTTAATTCTTACAACGTCACATAATCAAGCCACTAGTCATTTAGCCTCTTGGAGTGAAATGATCAGGAATAACTGTTATTTACGAATCAATTATATTAAGGTTAATGTTATATGGTTAAAAAACCACGATTGTTTCCAATAGGTCTGAATGGAGGTCGTTCTGTACAAGAATACATTGCAAATAATGCCATCAATAGTTATTATATTATTATTATTTATTTATTTGCATAATGATACGATTGAGTTCGATGATGAGATAATTTTTACTTTACACGCTCAAAAATGTTTTATATAGTTAGTAAACATTTTTGTTTGTAATGATTACTACAACTAATGTTAATTCTGTTAATATAAACGAATCTATTCTATATTATTAACAATCCCTTTTGACGGCCTTAGTGGTCTAGTGATTTAGCACATCGCCTTGCTTCTGATGGTCGTTTGTGCCAGTCTAGTTGTTTTCTATGTATATTTATGTATGTATTTACAAAAATATATATGTGAGTATTTATAGCAGTGGTCTAGTATTGATTAGCTTGGGACTAGATGGTGCTGTGTGAATTGTCATGAGATACTATTATTGTTATTATAATCTCTCGCTATAGCTTAAAAAGGTTTAGCTAAGAGAAATGTAGTTTATGCGTATCTAGTAGTATTTCACCAATTTTCCCGTATACAAGTCCTTTAGTAATAGTCAAAAATCTCGAAGTCATAAGTCATATCACAGTCATAATATCTTTCATTTAGAGATTTTAATTTGCTTTTTAGTGATTGTCAACATACATATATGGCACGTTAACCACCAACTAAAAAGGTAATAAAGTAGATAAAGTTATATAAAAAAACTCACAAATACTATTGAAATCCTCACCTGGGGCGTTTTTTCAGCTTTAATACCTTGGTAAAGAGTACAGTACATGTTACACACAGTAAACCACACGCTATACCCAATACCATAATTACTGGATCTCTGATGGAGTCCCATCCGTAGTTACAATCTGTTATTTCAACATACGGCAGTTCACTATTTCTTAAGTTTTCAGACGAGATTGGCACCGTCTTTGATATATTTTGCTCTTGAGTGCAACTGAAATTAAAAAGAAAATATTGCTTAGTGTTGGATGGAAAAAAAAATTAAACTATTCTTCACTTTAACTGCTGCTTTTATACCACAACCTAAAATATAGGGTGATATCCTAGTTGCAATTATAGAAACTATTGGAAATAGTGGACTATTACCGTTTCCAGAATCTACATAAAGTCACCTAAGTGAGGTGACATTATGTAGGTAAAGAACAGGATTCTACCTACTCTATTTTCATATTTTCATTGACAAATAAACATAGATATATCTCACATAACGTCGCTAAGATAATTTACGATATTTGAGGTCGTGACTGTATCTACAACAGCAAACCTTATTCTTATTAGTGCAATTGCAAATAGAATGGTTAATAAGTAAATAAATTACAGAAATTACTTTACGCATATTAAACATATTGGACGGGATATTTACTGTGATTATAATATTTATGAGCTTCCGGTGTTTTAATGCTGTTATGAGTGTTCTCGTTATGAATTGACTAGAGATGGCAATAGACTTTATTATATAATATTATGAGCAAAGAAAACAGTCTGCCCATTTCTTTCTACGTACACCATCACCAATACCAAAGGAAAACACTTGATATTTATATACAATCAAATGTGAAAAGTGCTTAAAACAGTATTTATAAATATTGTAGTGTTTTATAACATTCGACAGTACGCGTGCGATTTTTTGGTATATACAACTAGCAAAATATAGTCATGAATCTAAAGTTTATCATGAAATTAATGTTTACATTTAGAATGATGACTTACTTGCACTTTTCTGTGGAAGTAGGCAATGATCTATCTAATTTAACACTATTTATTGGTATCATAATTTCACATCTCAATCCTTCATATTGTTTGGAACATTTACAGTCCGGTTCTTGATCTTGGTTTACTGAACATACGCCTTTGTTGAGACAGTATCCATTACAGATATTGATCTCGCACCTTTCTCCTTTAAAACCACTTGGGCACCTGCAAATAGATAAAATAAACTTATAATTAATTTACTGCCTAGAATTATAAGTATCCGTTTGCCACCTAGATACATGGCGAAACCTCGGAATATTGCTTTGTAGAAATAAGGTCCTGAATTTGATTCTCTTCATTCTCTTTTTTCATGTTAATTCTTGCAAATTTTATTTTGTTAAATTGATTTAGGTCTAGGTGTTATGGATTATATATATATGCTACTAGTCACAACACATTTAGAAGATTAGAAAAATGTGCGATTGTACTGACATTATGATTATATCTTGATTATTTACCTGCAAGCTGGTGTTCCTTCAGACGAAACCTCGCAATCACCTTGGAAACAGTAATTGTGACAAACAGAAATTTCGCACCGTTGTCCAGTGTACCCAGCGGAACAGTTACATGACAATTTCTCATTATTCTTAACTCCGTGGAGACAGAATAAGCCTAAATCTCTTGGAATGTTGAATGTATCGTTAATCACTGTTTTGTTTTGTGACAATTTAATCAATTCTTCGCATTCAGTAGTGCCTTCTGTTTGATCGCTAATTTGGTAATTAGCAACTATACCGAATGGTACTTCATTAGAGAAACCAATAAGTTCTACAGGATCTAAAGTTTTTGGTGAATCCTTTGGTAACTTCCATACAGACTTGTAACCCCAGTCTACCCAATATACAGCATCTTTGGACACGGTCAATGCGTTAGGTTGATGATACGTGCCCATATATAAAGTTTTCGGATTATTACCATCAAGATCTGAACTTTCAATGGAGTAATGTATTCCTTCTCTGTCATCTGCCCAATATAGCTGCTTAGTTCGTTGATCAACAGCAATGCTCACCGGCATATATATGTCTTTATCAATAATTGTTTCCCTTTCAGTCCCGTCAAACTTAGCTCTCTCTATGGTTGGTTTGGTAATGTTTATATTGGTCCAGTAAATGTAACTGAAAGTAATTAAATAATGAATTACTATATTATTACACATTATACCAGAGGTTTACTAAAAGTTGCATGGGACTCTCTGTTTTAGGGTGATAAAAGCAAGTGAATGGGTATGATATCTTAGTCTCCCGGAATTGGTAACCCATCAGTGGTATCACTGGCGTGATATTATAAAGGGATGGCAATATAAAATAGTTGCCACTTATTATCAGTGCACTGACAGCTTTCTAAGTCATTTAAAATTCATTAATTAAAAAAAAATTACACTAATTTATGGGGATTGTATTGACAGATTAAAACTTACCCTCTACAGCTATCAACAGCAATAGCTCTAGGAATCTCGTCATCCATTTTTATCAAGAGATTGCCATAAACGTCGTTTTTGGATCCTAGCATTAATGACATATAGTAAATACTCCTTTCATTGGTATCTGTCCAGAAAAGAAGACCATTGACGGGGTCAAATGCCAATCCTTGGATGTTTTCATAGGACTTTCTCCTAACCAATGACTGGTATTTCTTTGTGGCTAAATGGTAACTGAATATAGAGGCGTTATCATTCTGTTTATCTACAAATAGTAGCATATTATGGACCGCGTCGTACGCCAGTGCTGTAAGATCTCTGAACCTAACTCCTACATTGTTAGTTTTTGTTTTATTGCTATAGAATTCTAATTGGCCACCTGTTGTTATTGCGATATCTGAAACAAAAATACATTATTAGACTAAATACTTTTAGAACGGATAATTTAGTATATACTTAAAATTTGCCGCATACATGACGTGCCGTCACAGACAGACAGTTTGGAATTCACGGAGTAGGTATCTCCAAAGCTAGTAAGCTAAACTATTTAGTAATTACGTGAGCATAACCATACATGCCTCTAAATACCTACCCTTTTATTCCAATAAAGGGAGAGAATATTTAATTAAAGCTCCCATTACAGTAAACCTAACATGTGACAATTATTGCATTTTTCGGTGTAGTTAGGGAGGTCAATTTTATACTTTGCTTGCTACTTAATCATAAAGTTTTTGCTTCTGTGATTAAAAAAAGAGTTATGAAATCTTTATTAGTCTACAGATAAAAGGTGACTTTTATATGTTGATGGTTCTGGAGTTGCCTGAGGGCAATGTTAGATAATTGATGTTTATTTTCAGATTATTAATTTTATAAGAGCTAATTTTCTCTGAAATAATAAACTTGCAGCAATTATTTACGTATATATTATTTGAATATAATTATATACACATCTTATCTAACATAATACTAATATTTAGACTGAATGTCAGTAGCGGGGTCATTTGATCATTTTATGACCTTGTAGCTGATGCTATTATAGCACAATAATGACAAGTATCGTCTACGTAATTCATATTCCATTGTTAAGTTTTAAGACGGTAAACAAGTACTGATTACAAAATTGAATTTCTAGAATTTACAATTCGTATTGATGGACAAACTGTTAACCTTTATTAGACAATGCCGGTGAACTAAAATAAACCTTTATATAACTTAAACTAAATGAAATGAGAATTGCTAATTGCTAAAATTGAATGTGGACTTTATTGTAACGATAACAAAAGTCTATAATTGGATGCACGGTGTGAAACATCACAAGATATGAAGGCGGTGCTGGTAATAGCTTGGCAACGTCTCTACGAGACATTACGTGCCGAATTCAAGGAGTCAGCTGATCACTTGTTTATGTAACAAACAAAGCAGCAATACAATACTTGTCTATGCTGTTCTCGTGATGTGAAGTGCATTCCACAAGCAATAATCAGGGATTTGACCATATTTAGTTAACACGTAGTTTAAAACCGTTTATGTAACATTAAAAAAAACTTCCGTTTATCCGACGTATTGTGTTTGAATGCGTATGAAGTAGCAACTGACTCTTAAGAACTCGATGCCTCAGATGCCTCATTTGCATCTGTTTACTTTGTAAGACTTAAAGGTATATTGTAAAAAAAAAAACTATGTAATGGGGATTTTAGTATTTTGGTTTGGTTTATTTACTATTTTGTTCTTATTTTATTCTAAAAATACAATTGAAGCGCTTTATTTATGCTTGTTACACTATATGCAAAACTAATACATATGTTTTATTCAGATTAATTTATGTGTCTAGATCGTACTCTACGAACAGCGGTAATTCTTTGGAAAACACCCAAATCGACGTCACAAGTTCACCGTGTGAATGCTTGCGTTACGTAGGAAGGTATACCTCCATATCTTTACGCATGTTTGCGTTGCGCAGGAGTCAATGACGCGAGCGTAACGAGACCATGGTGATCAAAACATTCCAACAAGAAAATCTACGATTTAATATATACATTTTATGTTTTTATATTGTTTCCATTTATTCTTCTCTTTAACTACAGAATAACAACTGTTTATAATAAACTTGTAACAGATGCGAAATTTAATATAATACATTGTAGATTTGTGCAATACACACTTGAGGTGATTTTATAGAAATTATAGAGCGAGATTATATCTAAGAATATGTTAGTTAGTAAAATAATAAATTCCTAAATATTTTTTTATAATATCTATAATATTAAAGTGCTTTGATATCAAAGAACAAACATAAATCCTTCAATATGACTGGCAGTACATTATATATGAAGGGTTTCACTAACTTATTAATTAAGTGATAAAAATGACAGTATGGGAATATAATAACAATCAGTCATAGTTGTCGCGATAATATTTGCACCAAACAGGAAAAATATTAAAACATAAATAAGTTCTATCAATCACAATGAAAGTACATACTATAGATATTTTGTAAGAAATTAATCTTCACAACAGAATAATAAAAATTAATCACTTAACTGAAAAAAATTAGTAGAAAAGTGTAAAAGAAATTAGGTAGCCTATATAGCCTATATCTAAAAATTCAACATACACAACTAAGATAGAGAATTTTTTTTGCCAGTGTCACATTACGTGATTGTGTAAGTAAAAATATACGAATGTAGTCATACTCAAAGCTACTCTATATGTTTTTAGGATTAAGTAAAGAGCTTGGGTATACGGCTTAATTATGCCAAAGCAAATAAACAAGGTATAAAGTCATATATGCATGCAGTATATATATTTACATACACATGAAATCGAAAAACATCGATTAAAATGTACATTTACAAGACCTTAAATTTTTGTATGGAATAATTATTTCTAGCAATGAGGCCACATTGTTCGTCACACATACAAATAGTTAAATGTAAATAAAATTATCATCAATATTTGTCACTTTTATGTGTGTATTCTCTCACTATCTTTCTAATTTGATAATATGATTGTTTACCGTGTATAAAGAGATTTTATATATTTTTTCTTGGAAGAAACAATTACCAAAATCTGATACGAATTTCAGTAATAATTTAATAAATTCAATTAATATCATAAACCATTAGGTATCAATAATTTTAGACAACAATTTCATCTTCTGGCGAGTTTCCTAAGGTCGTTTTGAAAAGTTTGCATTCAGTTTTAAGGTCATCTCATTGTATTTATAAATGCATTACTCTTAAATTGTTTTTTTTTTATTATTATTCTTTACGTTGAAATTATATAATCAATTATTCGAATATATAAAATTTATATTTTATTTAGGAAAGTCAGTTAAGTTTTATAAACTTCACTAATAATATGATGGTATTTGTGAATTTAGAATTTCTGATTGACCGGACGTGGGATATTGAAAAAAGACGCTAAGTTTCCTTATCAGTCCGATATTAAATATAAATAGTCACAATAATCTTTATTACGTTGTTGGGATTTGTGACTTTGGAATTTGTGATTAACTTATATTCATAACATGGTCCAATCAATTAGTGGAAATGGAGAAATATGATATTAATACAGATAAAATACAAAGGTTAAATTTGGCACTTTGATAATAATTGCAAAGTGTATCACAATGACCTTAGCTGTATTGTTGAGTCTTAAAGAGTTTCTGGTTGGTAATAAAAATAAATTGAATTTTTGATTGATCGTTGGGGTAGGGGAGATATTATTTTTTGTCCCCACCACGTCACATAGTCTTTTTGTAAGATAAACACATAAGTGTAAATTAACATTCTAGATAGCCTTGATACTGTCATTTTAATGTACGCACACGTATTTTGTTAATACAACTTTGCAGAATTGCTCTGACGTATTAAAACAAACCGGATATTTATATTATTAATTTATGTACCTGCATTATCATGTCTCAATTAAATCAATGATTGCAAATATAATACATATCAAATAAATGCGATTAAGTTAAAATCACACATAAATAAATCACATAATGTGATATGCAGTGGCTTAACTAGGTAGGTATTGTGTTTCAAGAAGTACATAAGGGTCAGCAAAACATCCCATAATCCTAAAAGTATATACTATTGAATAATGTCCATCATCATAATTGCCTTGCCCTTATGTGGGGTCTAAGCATTATGTAATCTCTTACACCGGTCCCTATAAGCCATCATGTTTGAGCTTACTCTACTTTTATGCATATCATTGGAATGTAGATTAGTTAGGATAATTCTTTACCATCAGAAAAAAATAACTTTATTCAAATGAATGCAGTTTCTTTCAGAAAGAATGAGCGAGTATTTTGCTTGTTGCTCCTTTAATATATTGTGCCTAACGTTACGTTTAAAAAATTTTGTGTGAGTACAAACTACCTACAAAATAGCACATATTACTGAGATTTTTCAAATGAGCCGTATTTGATCCTTGTAATAATTATAACATCTATAGAACTGTGTACTGTCTTGTTGTGGCAAAATACGCATACGTCTCACCACTCCTCTTCCTCCCCAGAATTAGAGATGAAGAGTTTATAGAAGTATATATCAATTTAACGCATAAAACACATGAAATTAAAAATACCCAATAGTGAGCAGTTTGATCAGCGCCGTAATAATAAATAAATTCTTCTCTTATGAGAAAGGAGCTATGGCTATGGAGTTCCTTCCCCGTATAAGAAGCTCAAGTACCCATGATTCCTGAGCTTCAATTGAAAATTAACCAGTTGTTACAATGGTAAACATACACAACGGAGTCGTATAATTTTCTACCAAAAATGCGGAATGGTTCTAAAATGGTACAAAAAAGTGGAACAAAAATTGACGTCAAGCAGTAAACGGTAGTTTCCTGTCATGTTCCTATTTATATTCACCACAAATTATGCACATAATATATAACAACACATATTGTGGTCGGCTGTAATAAAGTAGATAATATTATAGCAATTGTATCCGGTTTTCAGTAAGATATATAAACTAAATAAAATTCATAAATTTTAAAGTGCTATTTTCATTGTAATCGTAATTTTGGCTTATTTCGTATTGATTTGGGTAAATACCTTAGTGGTTTTAGTGCCCATCATCTACTGATTATTTGTTGTTTTGATCCCCACACAATACTGAGATTGGATGAATGATATATTTGTATTGGTTTAGCTGTTTCCTACTGTATGTATATGTGGATAAAAACATATGTATTATGTATCAATTAGTTGTCTCACTAGACAAAGGGCACTCCTTCATAGAACAAACTCTGCCGCATGCCGGACTACTCAGAAAACTAATTCTACGTATTGCCTCTTTCCGACATTGAATGTTACAATAATAACGTATCAAATCGTAAAATTATGGTCAATGAAAGAACTAAAAGATATTGTTGTTTATTTATTTGGTTTAGTTTTGATTAAGTTTGAAAAAAATAGTACAAAATTTAAGTTACCATTAAGATTATACTCTACAGTACACCTGCTGTTTAGTTTAAGACTATACAACACTGTCTCGCTAATGAGTGTTTGTGTGAGCAAGTTACATAATTAAACCATGGATTATCAGTAATGGGAAATCTAGCATTGTATGGTTAGATAGTCCACTGAAACCGATCGTGGTTAAATTCATCTTGAAGTTGGCACGATGCATGGGCTGCCTCACCTGACTTTATGCTCATCCTATCATCATCCAATGATGTCCTGCCAGCGTGTACCGGTAGTGCATGCGGGTGTACTATTAAAAAATCCTATATCATCAAATTCATCACTTAACATTAAATATTAAAGAAATCCGTCGGCCAATACGAGAGTACAACTTTTCAAGTTAGGATCACGTGATGATAATAATTAATCAGGTATGAATTAAGATTATTTAAAAGATAGTAGATAAAAAATATGAATAAGTGTGAATGCCAACGTGATAAAATTCAATTATTGCATCCAGGAAATAAAATGGTGTAATTACAATGTAATATTACATATATTTTATTAGTCGTGAAATATAAAAACAAAAATAATAATTATAAATCCAAACAATAAATATAATAAATACTTTAGTTGCAAAATCAATCCAATAAATTTATTAATCTTACAATATAGGCACTGCTTATTATTCTGAATATAATTTAGTGTTGAAATGGGGCAACCATTTCAAAGTTGGCTAATTTATATTTCTACTGAATTATAACTATCACAGTAATTGAATATAAATTAATTGCTGACTGATTAAATATAATGAATAATTAATTAATATTGACAGTTATTAATTGTCTAAACAATAGTTAATTAATAAAACATATTTGCTTAGTTTACAAAATAATGTTTGAATATTGACAAAATGATGCGAATATTGCATATTTGTGTATTTAGTGTACGATATTTTTTACGTATTCCTTTTATGGAGGTAATATTTAGATTTTCCATAAAGAAGAGTTGAATAATTCGAATGTAGGTATGTATTTTCTAAGAATGTAGTAATTTTTACTTTTGTATTATTGTAAATAGGCTAGAAACACATGTCAGTAAAAAAACTACAGTGTTTCTATTTCTGATATTTCCATGTCATTGCAAACCTTCATATTAGAGCTATAATTACCTATACTGTAATTGTATACGTTGCATAACAGGCTGAAAACCGACTCCGAATTGTTTAGCTGTTGTCACGTAACGTGTTCTGTGTCACGTACGCCACATTGATGGGGTGATGGGGTTCAAATACAATAGCCTGATAAACTGTTTAAATTCGCAAGCCGTTGTGATAGCATTTATCAATCATCAATAGGCATTTACGCATTTTTCATTCATGCACCTGCTGATAAAGACAAACCATGATTTGGGACGAACACCACTTATAATTGTAATTCTTGTTATAGATTATGTTATGGGAAATGTACATAACACCATATTTGGCATGTATGACAATGGCAATAATTGTTCATACACGAGACTTTCATTTACTGTTAAACATAGACACCTATAGTATATAAATACACAGTGCAACAAATTGACTTAAAAAAGAAAGAAATTCAGTTGAGTTTTTGCCAGTTCTTCTCGATTTAATTTGTATACTGATCTGGATTGTAGTAAAATATTAATTAAAAAAACTCAACGTTCATAAACGGCTAAAATGTCCAACATGAATAATTTTTGATTTCATATGACTGCCATGTACGCATGGCGTTACAGATATCATTAGCCGTTTAGGCGAGTTTCCAGTACCTGAACCGCCAAAGGTTTGAGCGATATGCTATTTTCCTTCCTAACTTAATCATAATAGGATCATTTAGCGCACAGAGCAATGGCGTCATCTGTTCAACTTTCCGATCTCTTTATTGAAATATATATTCTAAATTCTATGTCTACTAACCGCTTTCAAAAAACTCAAAAAACCTGTCAAATAAACCAGTTATATCTAACTAAAACACATTTGGTTTTATTCATTAGTACTAGTATACAGATTAATCACAATTGTAAATCAACATAACACAATTCAACTTTTTACATGTAATAATGTTAAGAAAAATCTTTCTTGTATATGACGTAAATAACAGGTGCAATATTAATACAACTTTGCTGACTTGATCTATTTACAAGATTTTCTATGAATTATTAGGTTGTTATAAGAAACATATTTGTCTCTTAAACTTTTAAAACTAGAAGGTTCCAATTTAAATTATGATACATTGACTGTTATAATTGTTTATCATTTTTGTGTACTATATCCATAGACTGTCTAAGGAAATACAGTAAACATTTAAAAAGAATTGTACACACGTACTTAAACTTTTTTTTATATAATATCTAGTAAGCAAAAACTATGCAAGAATGTCGGTAATACCCAGGAAGACTATTTTTCCTGTTCAGTGTATTCATTCCATTTATTTTTGACATGATACTTATTATATAAATAGTTGGGTCTATTTATACTATAGTACCTATAATTGGGAAAATGTGTCTCGTCTATATGTTTGTTAACTTTTCACGATTAGACGGTTAAACAAATCTTAATGACATTTAATATGAAAATTGTATTGTATATTCGTGTAGTTGAAATAATAGTTAATGTTTTGAATACTTAATCAACCGTTTAAATATTTTCCTGAGCTCGGAGTAAGATTAAAAAAAAAAGTGAATCAGTATATCTAAAAGAAATATTTTCTATCACTTACAATAATAACTTAATATTTTTTTATCTGTAATGAAACGCAACGTGACTTGACCCACAGTTAGTTTATCGTTGCAAAGATAAATTTAAACTTTTATAACTGTTTATCTCTGAAACGATAATACAGTTTAAGATTATTTGGCGGTTGCGTTTAAAGATTTAGCCATGTCTATATATCAAAAATTTAGAATAATACTTTAAAACCACATGAGTACAACAAATACCTATGTATTACCGTACGATCCCGTTGTTTCTACCGCGTATTATGCAATTTTACATGTCGAGGAACCAGCGACCATCGGATGTAAGGCGGTGTCTAAACCGCTAGACCAAAGAGGCCGTCAATAACTTTAGTAGAAGAATGTAGGTAATACTCGATGGTATCAATAAAATAGTAATAAGATTAAATGAAGTTATTTATTAATTTTCCATTCTATCTCCACGGTGGCGATAGATTGCGTGTTATTGTAGATTAATATGGAAAGTATTGTTGTTGTTGTTACAAAAGTCATTTCCGTACGTTTATTACTCCTCTATTATTGATAATTGAAAGTAATTATAGTAATTCATTGCTACAATTAATATTCTCGACACTAAGGATCTACTTCATGTTATTGTTTATACTTTTGAAAATCATAACGTAGATAGATTAGGGGCCATCCATAAATTGCATGACACGTTAATTTTGTCGATAAAATGTGACACAGTGTGACAAGGGAGCGGGTTTTGTTCTAAATCCTGTAACATCATATTTCAAAATGTAAATATGTTTAGGTATTAAATCTTGAGATTTGAAAAGAATGTTGCAGGTCTCAAAAATAAAAAAATCGTGTGACGTATATTATGAATTGCACCCAAAAACAAATGTCATGTCTAGTAATCAAGTGTTGATGCCTGCCAATCAATTTTTACTTTATATGTGTGATAAAAAGGTATGTCTTTCTTCATCTTAAATAACTAAATATCATCTTGATTGATATAGACGTGAAGTCAAAAATAGAATCAATTTTCACTTTTTTTTTAGAGTCAGGGAAACATTATAAAAGTCTTTAATAACAGTTATAAAAGAGATGTTAAGTATGAGTATTCGCAAAGATATCAAACAAGAGCAAAATAAAATGCACATCGAATACCCCACTGTGACAATACTATTCCGTAAATCGAATTAAAATGGAACAATTGAACTATCTCACGACCCGTTTTAACGGACATTGTATTCCTAATCACCTATAAAGGTAACCTCTGTTACTTATTGTATCGTGACAATGATGCTAAGCAACAAACTAGGACACGGCCGGTGCATATTTGTCTATTTGGTCGTAATTTGTTTGCTGATTTGTACTTGCTCTCATTTTTTTGCTACATAAGCGTTAGGTCATTATGACATTATATAAAATTTTATTGTCTAGTAAAAATTTAAGAACTAAAGACATTTGCAGAGAGAGAATGACTGAAAACGTTGACAGGGGCTGTCCTAGTCATAACTTGTACAATGTTTATTGAAGATCAAACATACTAATGTGATGAAAAATCTAAAACAAATAATATTATTATCCTACCTTTTTTAACGTTCAATTTATAATATACAAGCTGTTACTCGAAGCTGTTATTTTATGCCATAGTATTAGTAGTAGGTAGTAAAGAAGCATACGGCCCGTCCGCTTAAAAAGTTATCCTATGGACTGAAATGCCAGGAGTGTTACGTGCGCGCTGCCGACCTGTTATACTTATAATACGAATTGAAAAATCTCATGTTGTAGTCTCAATATTATTGTTTTCTTCTGAATAAGTCTATCTAGTCTATGTCTCGTGACACAACCTATTAACATTTACCAACCGATCAGCCCATATCGCACGAAAAGGTTTTTTATTAAATTATTTTTTTGTTATTAGTATAGATTATTAAAAACAAATAATTAATACGTACACGTAATAAATATATACACAGGTTACTCGTAGTTTATTGATGTCAAGTTAAATAGGAATCGCAATACAAATCGTGAGATTTCAACATGCCATTTATTTACACATCGGTAAACAGTGACTAGGGAAATATGTACATACTTTAAGAATATTTTTTATTTGCAAGAATCGATTTATTATAAAGGGATTAGAATGTGTTTGAATGTTAATAATCTAAAAACATATATATTATTAATAAAAATTATATCCGTAAAGTATTATTAGTAAATTATTATTTTTTTATGGTTGATAAGGACTTAAGTGGAAGGTAATAATATGAACATGACATCAGGTCAGTTTGGTTTCCAAGGGGAAGCGCGGGGAGGTCAACCCAACATGAAGTTTTATATGGTAATATACATATATATTTCATTTTACTATTATTACTACGCTAAAAATGCAAGATAGGTAGGTACTATAAGAGTGGACAATATTAATATCTAAATTAATAAGTTTATGATGCGTTATGGTAGCGGGAAAGTTTTTTTACTATTCGAAATGTACATTATTCTAGATAAAAATAGGTTATATTATGTCAAAATATACAAAACACAAACTTTGAGTACCCGGGCGAAGCCGAAGCGGACCATTAATAATAAATAAATACTGGTCACTTACGGTTACAACTTAAAATACTATATTGACAGAGGATTGCACTTACATATAACTTATTATGATATTTACATTATGCAACATAAATACTTACTTAAGTGAGTACTTACATCCTTGAATATCGGAGCGCGTTATACTTATACTTAGTATGACTTTATATATGTGACGAATTATTAAAAGAAATTTGAATGGTAAATAAATTTATAGTCCGTCTGGTGGTAAGTGGTAAACGTAGGATATATACGAAAATATCACCATGGCTATCACGTTATCATATATCTCGCGTGATACTTTGCCTCTCCAACTTAAATACATCTTACAAGCAAACTGTTTGGTGGCTGAAATAGGTAGGATAGAGGTACCCAAGTAAATTTGTACGAAGTCTACTTTGATATTTACGTGTATAAAATATGCAATTTCTGATTTAATTTTGTCTACAGTATTAATAGAGTATCTTTAAAGTTATTTTTATTGCCTTATTGTAATAACAACTTTAAAAATATGTACAACGTACGCTGACCGCATGTTATTCGCTGTGAATTATTTATTGACCCAAATTATTGACCCCATCGAAACTATGTGAGCCAGTGGCCGGCGTTTTATAACTGACATGTCGAGAGAAATCTTGCATGACAATCAAATAATTATGCATTGAAAGAGGGGAGGGGATTATTAGTAATGTGGACTAATGACCTTGTTAGCAATGTACCATGTCAGATTGTCGTCCATGCGGTTCCTCCTGGTAACCATCGTGATAAATTCCTGATTTGTCAAGATGGGCTAACTGACCTGCTTTATGCTCATCTTATCATTCTCCACTGGTGCCCCACCAGTGTAAATCTTTAGCGCAGGCCGGCACCATACCATTTCCATACATTTAAAAAAATATATCCAAGACGAAATATTATTCTAGGCCTAAAATTTTATTCTTCGATTTAAAAAGTGTGTATTTGATGTAAGAGATGGCCTATGGCTAGGTTTTATCTTAAAAATAATCTAAAAAATGGTGACATAAGGGATGAATGTTTGATAAGAGAAGTTGCGGGTAACAAGTGGTTACATACAATGCGATGTTGTACGGTATGCGAAATTGAATACAATTTCGAAATTGATTGCAATTTTCGTAAACAGTGGTACAAAGATTTTGCTTCACGTATTAATATATAGATTAAACGTTTAGCGAGTCAGCTAGTATAACATAAAAATTTGTGCTATACTGTACGCGTCGGTAATCTTTGAAGAGCAATCAATGCTCAAGATATAATAAAAGTATTGTAATATAAATAAAGTAACGTAGGGCGACCACACTCGACGGGGCGACGACCTCAAACGTAAAGGGAAATCATTTGATGCAGATGACATAGGACCATCTTGATGGCAATCTATAAAAAACATTACTAAGACTTTTAGCAAAGAATATTTTTTTATACTACGTAGGTGGCAAACAAGCATACGGCCCATCTGATGGTAAAAGATTATCGTAGACTATGGACGCCTGAAACACCAGGGGTGTCACGTGCGCGTTGCCGACCTTTAAGAAACCTTAATAAAAAACCTTCCTGAAAAACCCCATGCTGTATTCTCTCGAGAAAACCTCGGCAGGTCGTTCATTCTATAATCGTAAGTGTACGCGGGAGGAAGCTCCTCTGAAATCGCTCTATCCGAGACCACTTAGGTTCTAGCGTGTGGGGATTAATTCCCTGTTAATGGCGAGCGGTGTGATGGTAAAAGGTAGCCATGGGCAGCCTATTGTTGTCATTAAGAAACCTGCTTTGTAAGCTGTTTCAGTTAACAAGGTAAAGAGGCATGAGATCTTTATTTTCCAGAATGTCAACGCATGAATACCACGGGCGTTACATGACTACCTAAAATATGTGGTACTTTTCATGCATATAGGCTACGGTTGCCACTTACCATCAGGTAGGCCGTTAGCTCATTGCCGTACCAGAAAAAAATGTGAATTTAATCGTTAAGTGCCTGCGTTTATTATCTATTGATTTTATAGCCTACTTTATATGCAGGTGTAAGCGATGTACTTATATGTTGTAACTAATTACTAATGGAATATTTTAGTATATTAGTCAGATGTTTCCAGGCGTGGTATACCAATTAGTGCTAATCACCGTTCTGTTTTCATAATAGGTATATCAATTCGTTAATAACACCTGTACTATTTTTAAGTAGTTTAGTTATAATAACAGTGGTTAGCTATAATAATATGTCCAATGTAAATTTTTTGTCCAGTATTGCAATGCTGCAGTATATATTTTTTTTATTTCAGAGCGCAATGGCCAATGGGTGTAGTTTCCACTAAACTATGTCATTCTCAAGTCGACTTACGTTAAAAGATCGTGAGTTTAATTCTGGCCAATATAGAACAGGTTTGTGTACTAAGTTATATTTATGACTGATTGCCCAGTAATGCAAACACCAATAACAAACCAAAATAATGAGAGATGGTGACATACTTGCTCCTGCGGCGTCTAGAAAGCATAGCATAAGCTCTGCTTACTTTGGGACAAGATGGCGCTGTGCATAGCATGTAAATTACCACGTTTGGCAGGCAAGAGGCTTTATACATAAACACGCGAACCTCTTGCTTTTTGAAGTCGGTTGAAAAGTAGGTATTATATGCCAATAGGTATTTTACTACATACGTTTTAAATGAAATTTAAGTACGTATTTTATCTAGGCGCCATCAGCAAACGAAGATTGTTTATACGTTTATTATTAGATATATTATCGAATAGGTAAATTTTTTTTATATTTATCCGATTAGCTATAAATATATCTAAATGAAACACCTACGTAGTACTACTTATAGGGTACGATATTATACATAATTTTCTATAACATATTATTATATAATATTATTTCAGTCACAGACCGGGGACTATGATACAGAAGGGAAATGTATCGAATTCGAATTACATATATGGTCCCTGAGGGCAATGACTCTAACTATCCTTATTTGGGATTACAGTCGTGAAAATATAGTATTTATTATTATTATATATTTAATTGATTAACTAAATAGTAGTAGTAATGTTATTATTCAATAAATACAATAAAATTAATCCGTATTTTTTAAAGATAAGATAATAAAATCGGAGTTAAAACAATTAAATATAAATAGGTATATTGTATGTATAAGATCACGTAGTCGATAATATGATAATATATCTATAAATTTAATTAATAAAAGTATTTTATTGTCAACAAATTTGTCACGTTCGCAAACACAACATTTGCAATTTTCTAAAAAGCCGATATTCTATGTATATATTTACTGCTTATAAATGCTATTTTTATTTAATTTATTATATTACATATTAGTTTATTCAAATTATGTTACATTACCGACACGTTCCGGCATCGCACAGATGCATTACAAATGTTTCAATTTCTCGGCTAGTTCAATACTATTATAACACGCATGCATTAAGTATACACAAAAACCTAATTCTTGAATCATTCTATCTAATAGGTAAAAACTGCATTAAAATCCGTTGCTTAATTTAAAACATATAAGCAAAAAGCGATCAGACATCGTCAGCGATATTTTTTTATACGTACCTACTATGTAAAGATTCCTAATATTTTTTATCTGAGATGAAAAGCATTATTTGTTTAGCTTTTATATTTATATATACATTATTTTGCCAATTTTAATTTGCTTATAGCAGGAACTAGTAACTCCTATTACTAGCAATGTACTATGTTAGGTCGACTTCCACGAGGTTCCTCCTAGAAACCATCGTGATTAATTCTTAGTGAATTTGTCACGATGGGCTAACTAACCTGACCTCATGCTCATTTTATCATCCTCCACTGGTGCCCCGCCAGCGTAAACCGTTAGCGCAGGCGAGTACACTATTGCATTATCATACACAAAAATAATACTTTAGATTCAGAATATTCTCCTATATTCATTTAATATTTCACAAATAAGAATACTTTTACATTTTAAACAGCATGATTATTAAGTAATTGTGATTGAAATGACCCTTCCTTTCCTCTCGGTATCGTTTATTATTTTTATATTTTATAATTTTGTTACAATGGTACAAACTATGATGTTGCGTTTATTTGAATTGTGTCGAAGTGAAGCCGTTTGTTGCCAACATCACGCCGTTAACTTTATTTGCGCCCAGTCGTCAATAGATGGCGCGAACATACCGCCCGCCTTGGAAGCCGCTGCTTTCAATTCATTATTGAAATATATATCAATTATCAGAATTTGTCGTATAGGTTGTAGACGATGTTGTAGGAGCTGATGATTTATTTTCATCAGTAGATAGTGGCAGCGGGCAAATTTTTGTAAATGCACGCTGTATTTGGCCAGTCGCCGTGCGAATGTCAGCAACTCGTGAGATTCCGTCTTTGCCTGGATAAACTCGTATAATCCTTCCCAAACGCCATTTAAGAGGGGGTTGATTATCTTCCTTCACTAAGATAAGAGTTCCCAATTTTATATCGCCTTTATTTTCTTTCCATTTGATTCTGTTCTGTAGCTGTGTCACATACTCCGTCGACCACCTTCTCCAGAAATGTTGTCTCATCTGTTCCACCCGGTTGTATCGAATGAGTTGACTGCTCTGCGTGTTGGTGAAGTCGTGGCAAGCAGGAGCGGTCAGAGGTCGGCCGATGAGGAAATGAGCAGGAGTTAAAGGTGAATAATCGGCGGGATCTGTGGACATAGCTGAGAGGGGACGGGAGTTCAGGACGGCCTCTATTTGTGTCAATACCGTGCTGAACTCCTCATAATTTAAATTAGCATTGCCTACTATTCGTCTAAGATGATTCTTACACAATTTGACGCAAATTTCCCAACAACCCCCGAAATGAGGTGCATATGGAGGGATGAAGGTGAACTTTATACTATCATTAGCCAAGAAATCATTTATCGTATTTAATCCGTTTTGTAAGATTGAAGAAAATTCTCTCTCAGCACCCACAAAATTTTTCCCGTTATCGGAAAATATTTCCGCTGGCTTTCCACGTCGGGAAATAAAACGTTTTAATGCTAAAATATAATCGTTTGTAGATAAACCAGTTACTAATTCCAAATGAATGCATCGCGTAGCAAGACATGTAAATAAACAAATATAACCTTTAATTAATTTAGCACCCCTACCTTTACGATTTAATATGAAAACTGGTCCAGCATAATCTACTCCCGTGCGCATGAAAGGAAAACTAGCCTCCAGACGCTCTGCGGGTAAATTCCCCATTATCGGCTTCCAAGTTTTACCTCTCATACGAACACAAGTCACGCATTGATGTACTGTTCTCCTAGCGAGATTTCTACCAGCCAGCGGCCACCAACTCTCTCGTATAGTGCACAGCAGGAGCTGAGGTCCAGCGTGAAGTAAATTCTTATGTTCCTGTTCGAATAATAAAATTGTATATCTACTTTTACTACACAACAAAATCGGATGAATTTTATTATAGGTAAAATTAGAATTATTAAGTCTCCCGCCAACCCTAATTAATTTATTATTATCTAAAAATACGTTTAAACCTAAAACCTTATTCATTTCTTTACACCTTTTTATAGGAATCGCATTAACTAAACTATTATATAAGGACGGGAATGAATGCATTTGTGCAATCCTCGATAACACCTGTACGGATGACGTTAGTTCATCAGCTGTGAGAGAACCGGTTTTACGTTGTTGTTTACTCCGAATATTGTGAATGAACCTAAGCACATACGCTCCCGTTCGCTTTAATTTGTTAAATGTCGAAAACCTAGTAAAATCTATGATTATTTCCGAATTTATGCAAACTGTATTTATCGTTTTATTTTTCAATTCAGGTAAATCATTTGAAATACTTACATTTTGTTTGTTTAACCATTCATTACAGTGTAAAAATGACGGCCCGTCCCACCACAGACGATTGTCCTTAAGCGCATCTATATAAAGACCCCTCGACACTAGGTCCGCTGGATTATTATTACCGTCTATATGTAACCATAACAAATCACCTGTTAATTCGTTTATCTCTATTACTCGGTTCTGTACAAAAGGTTTTAATAGATGCGGAGACATACGTAACCAACCCATCACGATTGTCGAGTCAGTCCAGAAGTAACTGCAATTAATTTGTAATCTAAGTGAATTAATTATTTTTTTATATAATCGTGCACCTATTAAAGCGGCGCAGAGTTCTAATTTTGGAATAGTAATTATTTTTAAAGGAGCAACTTTGCTTTTGGCGCATAATAATTTAACTGAAACTACTGAATCCCTATTTATTGTCCGTATGTATGCACAAGCCCCGTATGCATCTTGTGACGCATCACAAAAAATATGTAACTCTGTACGGCAAGCGTGAGTACATCTTACAAATCGCGGGATTTTTATCTTATGTAAGTGTTGTTGTATAGAATTTATAAATTTAAAAAATAGTTTTGTGACGTCACTAGAAACAGGATCGTCCCAATCGATTTTACATAGCCACAACTTTTGTAAAATAATTTTAGCCACTATTATTGCGGGAGCTAGGAGACCCAGAGGATCGTATATTTGAGATATAACCGACAATATCTTTCGTTTACTTAACGGTTCAGCAGATGTATTCCTCATCTCCAGTTTGGTCGTGAAATGTAGTTCATCGCTTTTATTATACCACCCTAAACCGAGTGTTTTACTTTGCGCATGTTCACCTATTGCCAGCTCCTTTGAAGAAAACGTAGCCGTGACGTCATAGTTAAACGTCCATTTACGCAAAGGGTAACAATAACTTTCAAGTATACGCGACGTCTTTGCACAAATATTTAATAACGTTTCAGGGTTGTCATGACCTGTAATTAGGTCATCCACGTAAAAATCGTCATTAATAACGAGCGCGACATTTTCATCATTACATTCTTTAGCAACTTGTTTTAAACAGCGTATACTGAGATATGGCGCTGACGCGGTGCCATATGTCACTGTGTTTAACTGATAAATACCTACAGGATCTGATGGATTTTCTCGCCAGAGTATAAGTTGTAAATGACGCTGATCCGAATGAATTAATGTTTGTCGAAACATTTTTTCAATATCAGCGCACGCTACGAACTGATACTGCCTAAAACGTAATAGGATTGACAATATATCGTTTTGAAGACTGGCTCCTGTATATTGAATGTCGTTTAATGGCTTATTTGTTGTCGTAACGCAACTAGCATCAAACACAACTCGTAATTTAGTTGTGGTACTATCCTCACGGAATACCCCGTGATGTGGAAGAAAATAATGTGGCCAACTGTACTTTTTAATTAGGGACATATGACCAAGTTCGCGATATTCCCGCATAAAATCACTGCACATTACTTTATAACGTGGCATACGCTCTAATCTGCGTTCTAAAGAAATAAATCGTTTATAAGCTGTCGTGTATGAGTCACCTAATAAATCAGCTGATTCCTTTAACGGTATACGAACAGAAAATCTACCATCACATTCGCGTTTTGTTGTGTTGGCAAATATTTCTTCGCACTTACGGTCGTCAAAAGTTAGAATATTCCCTACGTGAGGAATCTCCTCTATTTCCCAAAATTTCCTTAGTTCCAAATCGTTTAAATTCTGTGTAAAATTACACAAAACATTGTTATTATAATGCGGATTATTACAATTAATAGGACCGGATATCAACCATCCCAATTGCGAATTTTGTAAATAAGGACCGCATTTTAATTTAATTTTATTATCGATTAATAATTCCCAAAATATCTCCGCGCCTATTAATAAATCGATTTCGGAGGGTGTATAATAAGTCGGATCGGCCAGTTGAATATTATTCGGAATCGATATGCAACCAACGTCGATACTCACAGACGGTAAGTTTGAAGTGATGCAAGGTAAAACATAACATTTAATATTCGTATAATAATCGTTTAATTTAGATCGTATAGTTAAATCGCATAATTTATTAGAGTGTGAGACCGATTGTCCTACACCTAATATTTGAATAGTGGACTGTATAAAATTCGTATAATTTAATCGTTTACATAACGCTTCGGACATAAAACAATGTTGACTGCCGTTGTCTAAGAGAGCGCGAACCGTGTGTAGTCTGTTATTACTATCGAGTACTTCGACTTGTGCAGTAGATAGCAAAACCGGTCGCGCGGTCAGGTGAGCCCGTGACGTACTCGTGAAGTTGTTATCGCTGCTATGTATATCTATAGGTAGCGATGAATGCAACACAGTAGATGTTGTATGGTGCGTATTATTTACTGCGGAGAGCTCATTATTACTCGGCAACGATTCGCCGTTAGAGTGCACATCGGTGTGCAACAAACTATTATGTTTGCGTTTACATTGCTGGCAAGGGCCAAAGAAACAATCACTGACCGAGTGTCCAGCACGCAAGCAATTACAACAAAGATTGTTATCGTTTACTAATTTAATGCGATCTTTGACAGGTAGATTTAAAAACATATTACATAAGTACAATGCATGATTTGAATTGCACAAAATACAAGATCGTATACGTTTAATAGGCTTACTTTTATTAGCTAAATAACTATGTGTGTGTGTTTGTAACATTTGAATTTTACTGTCGTGAACATATTTATTATTTAATTTAGTGACATTAGTATTTTTATTCGAATTATTTGCGTTTATCATTTCTAATAGATCTGCACGGTTTTTAAGAAAAGTTAACAAATCATCCAGTTTTAATTTACGTTTATTGCAGTCATCATTACGTATATTAGAAATAAGAGAACCTTTGTAATTCTCCCACTCGCGTTCGGTACAAGGATCGAGTTTTGATACTATTAAGTACATTATAAGTGTATCCCATGATTCGGTCGGCTCATCTAACGTCTTTAAAGCGCGTAAATTACGTAATATGCAATCTATTAATTTTCTGATTTGCGAAGGCGACTCTTTATTAATAGATGGCATACAAAATAAAGACTTAACATGGTTGTGTACTAAAAGTCGATCATTTTGAAATCGATTAAGAAGCAATTCCCATGCATGTGTGTAATTTTCAGCTGTGAATTCTAATGCACTGATCACCTGCAATGCACTACCGCTGAGTGACGACCGCAGGTAATGGAATTTTTGTATAGGATCCAAATCAGTACGTTTATGAATCATAGTACAGTAGGAATTTTTGAATTCTAGCCACTGATCATAAAATCCTTCAAAGGATACTAATTTTAGGTCGGGTAATTTTATTTGGGAGCCTTCTCGGTTACGATGTAAATGAGAATCACAACTATGACTATCATCAACAACTAAAGACTTAGCTACCGCAATGCATCCATAATACTGTTCATCAAAATTCTCACGATATGTTATTTGATTAGAAAGATCATCATCATCTGTTAATTGTTCGATTTTACTTTGAATGTCATCAAAATCTTTATATACCGATTCTAATGTGGATATCCTTAAGTTTAATTCTATTTTAAGAGTTTTATCTAAAGGAATATTATCGAATTTGGATATATATTTTTCAAATGATGTTAATCTAGCCTTTAAAATACCTCTTTGTTTGTTAAGGTTCGAAATACTAGCAGTTTTAAATTCAAAATTACCGTTACTTTTTTTGGATGGCGATCTACTACCACCCTGAATTTCAGACGAAACACGCATTTTTAAAGTGTCACCTTTATCTTTATCACTCATTTCGGAAAGTAAATGGAAAATAAAGCGTACTTACAATCGTTTAAGATCACCCCGACCTTTGAACCCTGACTCGGTAATAGCACTGTGACCGCTTTTGCAACTGGAATTTCACACAAATAACACAGTATTAACACAAATAGAATAGTCGTGTAGGAGAGGAATGAACGAATAGGCCTGACCGTATAATCTGAGCTGATTCTTCTTCTCGATATCGTCTTCTTGATACACACCGGCGATCGACTTCCGTGGTATCTTGAAGAATTATTGTAGTCGATTTTATTATTTCTTGATATCTTGAAGTATTATTCCGGCGAAGAAGGTCCAAATGATTGAAATGACCCTTCCTTTCCTCTCGGTATCGTTTATTATTTTTATATTTTATAATTTTGTTACAATGGTACAAACTATGATGTTGCGTTTATTTGAATTGTGTCGAAGTGAAGCCGTTTGTTGCCAACATCACGCCGTTAACTTTATTTGCGCCCAGTCGTCAATAGATGGCGCGAACAAATTGTTATAATTATTAGTACACGTGCTGTAGCGTCATCTAATACCAAAACTAAGAAGAGATTAGTATTAATCTATTTACTACTAAAGAAATACATTTTTTGTGAATATATACTATAAACATTAAGACTAATACAGTAATATAAGACGTTTTTATTGTACGGGAATCGAAAGTGCGACTGACAGAAGATATAATTAGTTACATATATAGATATTGCGAAATAATAACCAGTCTAAATACACTTATAATTATTTCTGAAATGTCACATTCATGTACGTATATTTAAATTAGGTACATATTGACTATAGTTTTTACCCACAACCTCTAATCCGGAACGGAAAATATTTAAAATAGGTTGGACCGATATCAATATAGTTTTCCTGTATCTTAAAATAATATTATATTATATACACATATGTAAATAGGTTACGAACTAGTTACTAAATAACGAAAACTAACTAGGTATATTCCTGCAAATTCACACGATCAAACGTTTGAATTTGCAGAAAATAAGAACAAGAATGGTCTACAAAAAGGTAAAAATTATCATTCAAATCGTCTTGACAAAGATATCGCATAACATGCAAGAGAATAGGATTAGAACCCCTCTCCTTTTGAAGTCGATTGAGAAAAGTGTAATAATAATAAACCGCAAAATTTGAATAGACATCGTATCGTGACCACGACCGTATTAACTAAATCATCAAATTCATCATCTTTGGCGCAAGATTGCCTGTCATTGACAGTAGGTCATATAGATACAGGCTACCCAGAACAACTACAATATTAAAATGTTTTATATTAAAATTTCATAAAAACGAAAAAAATTAATTAATAGAAAGGTTCGTTCTATTTCGTTCGAACCAAAAGTGAGCAAAGAAACTCAGCTGTCACCGGCAATATGCTCATAACACGCGGAGTGCATATAGACCGATATAAATCCGTCCTATTTCCTTCCTAATACGCTTATAGTGTAATAACCTCGTATTAGAAAATGTTCTTGATTATCTTTAGTTTATTTTTAGACAATGTTATTGTACTTAGTAAACAAAATTACAGTTATGCACGCGATGTACCGCAGCGGTTAATGTGTCAGCAGACTTATAAAATTGTACTTCCAACCATGTGCTTTTTAATACTTAAACAAGTACCTAATGGCCGACGTCCAATATAACTGTTAATACTTAATCGTAAAATTTGTTTATACGTATATCTAATAATATATCTACAATTTTTAAAATCTTAAACACCTACTTACATAATTACTGTGTAAATTATTTAATTTTGAAAATAGTATGCAGATTTACGTAATTAAAAAATATTGTGGATTTTGCAAGCAAAGAACAAAATTATTTTATTATTTTTTCATTTAGGTAGGTCTACCTACCTATGGCTATAATATTTTTAAAATTTGTTTGTATTTATATCGTAACTTTTATATTAATCAGATAGTTCAATTATCAGTTCACATAAGTATGCACAATTTTGTGCGTAATCTGTTTACCGTTTTTCAGTTTTCAGGGAATCAACCAGATAAATTAAGGAGAACATTTTAAACAGCCGCTATCGATAAGTTCGCGCGACTCCTAAAATCTGCCGGTTGCGCCAAGTGGCCTACGTGACTCGGGGCCCCCTCGCTATGGCGCCAGCAGCTAAACGAATTCCCGCCTTATTGACAAGAGCAAAATACACACATGAAAATTCCACAATCTACCCACTTACGACAGTAGAAATGCAATTATCGCATAGTGATAACCTTCTGTTATATAACAAGTACACGAAAAAAATATAGCACGTGTCCAAAAGTCACAGATCAGCTGATCTGGGATACTCACCCCACGAGTTAACCAGGCCAATATACAGTGCGAAAATCGCTAGGAAGCACTGCATTTTACACATTTTGTTTCATAAATTTTGTTGCGCTTGTTACGAAGTGCACATTTGTTCGAAAATGTACGAGTTACGGTCCGAATGACGGTAGAGGGCGGTACGTTGTCGCAACGACGACCGTACGCCGCACGCGTGAACACGAAACTAAAATGCGGTACGCGATGCTAAAATCTAAATGGGTATGGGTCCATTGAAAAGTTGAGCATTTCGCGCATGCGACTGTCTTATCAAGTTTATCACACACGACGTGAGTATAGTGCCTGCCGGTAAGGTAAGGTTAGCCTACGTACCATCCTTGAACCGCATTACTATTATAATTTTAACGAAACTCGTGCACTACTTAGGCAGGTATGAGGTAACCTACATCTAAACACTAACTTATAACATCATATAAATGGTGCTTCGCAAATAGTGCAAAAAAACAGCGATATTGTCAATAATAATAATTTATAATCTATAACATATCACTGAAGCGAAAGCAACAAACTCGAAGTGTGGAACCGACTATAATGTTATAAACAGATACTTTCTTAGGGTTATTATTTTTCTTTTGATTATAATATTTAAACACTAAAATTATCGCAAGCGTAACAAATAAACTCACATTTGTATTAATTTAGCTAGAATTGACTCCATAATTCATATATCAATTACGAATTGTAATGTATAGAAGTAAATAAATGTCTTATTTAAAATTACTTACCTACGTGTTAACGTAGCAACAATAAAATGTTTCACTTACCTAATTGTTTTTTTACTATCTCAGTACCTATATCTAACTAGGTATGTTTCGAGGTTGACCAGTACTTAACTGTACTCAATTGAAATGAGTATCTGTACCAATTGAAATAAAAATAAATATTTCATTATGTTCAGTATCAATCTCATAGTTCATCAATCATAATGTTTCTGTGTCAATAAATAAAAAACTAGTTGCTAATAAAGAGACCAAAGAACACACTCTTGACCTGTGTTGCCAGGTTCGCTGTGACAAAAATAGCGAAGTACAGACGTTTCAATATTTTCTTCTGATATAATTTTCTCCTAAATAAATTATCAGACAGTCAGCAATTATATAGGATTTCTATAAATTTTTTTTCTGTTAAAGATTGAAAAATCAAAAGTAATTAAGATAAATATGCCTATGGTAAGGACCTACCTTACCGTGTCTACCTGATATTGCAATCATAAATAAATTATTAAAATTCTGTTTGTATTTTAAAATGAATCTGGTAACCCTGGTGTTGACAAAAATAAAATTTGATAATCTATGAACTTTGACCTAAGATAGGTCTAACTACTTTACCTTATGCGATAACTATTAGGTATATGTAGATGACAAAGAAAAAAAATACAAATATTAAAGCTACTAATAATAGTATTATGTAATAATAATAATAATAAAGCCTTTTATTTCCATAACCATCTAGAAGTTTGTACAAATAAAAAAAAAATTGTTAGTGTTTTTTCTTTTTCTCTATTTTTTAGTATTATAGTATTACAATTATAATTATATTATTTGTGGATATGGACCCCTCTTTGGGTGAAGGCCTCCTCCATTTTTTTCCAATATTCTCTCGTCTCGTTTTTTCCTATAGCTAACCAGTCTTTTCCTATATAGTCTACAATATCATCAGCCCACCTAGTATTATGTAGAAATAGAAATATTATATTTATTCAAAGTTTCATTAAAAATAAGAGCACTAAATCCTCAATTTTTTTCCAGAAATTGTTAATTAATATAAGACTATTTATTCTATTATTATGCTTTGTACTTGAATTTTTTGTCCAACTGCTGCCAATCAAATGAGAATAAATTTCTTTTTCCACTAAGACGAAAAGTCCAGAATCGTACGTGACTTCAGGAAGAAAAACATTGCAAGTTGACGCAAATTGATAAGTGGATTTTGTGTCCACTCGATCACTCTTTATAGTATCCGGTACGTAATCTGATAAAGATTTCAGATGGCTTACCTACCAAATGTCCATTATTGAAGATATTTAGAATTTCGGCAGTTCTTATAGAAAGTTACATAAACTTGAATTATGTTTATCATATTATATAACTTTGACACAGCAAAACTGATCCTAGAAGTGAAATCCTCTTTGCGATAACTCAGATAACATTCACACCAAAAATTAGCAATAACTAGTGAAGTAGCGATATATTTTGTTTCATAAAATGTCCGAAGTCTTGACTAGTTTTTTTTTATTCACGTATATTGAAAGCCAGCTGTGCCTACGGTTTTACTCGTATGAAATTTATAGCATATGTGTTATTGTGATATAAATGTAAACTGTAATACTGTAAAGTTTCATCAAAATCCGTTCAGTAGTTTTTGCGCGAAAGAGTAACAAACTTCCATCCTTACAACAAAAACTTACGCGTTTATAATATTAGTAAGAAGATATCTAATAACTTATTATAATTCATCTAAGGTTAGATTGCCTTAGATTCATAACTGATGTTAATTAATACGTCACGCTGCTAGAACAGCCCTACTGTTACTATGTATAAAAAAAACGTAACGAGGCCAATGGCAGATTTCATGTAGTTTAATATACACATTATCAAACATGATTAACGGCACCGGACATTGTTTTCTAGTGAACGGTGTAGTTATGTTTGCTACATGAATATCATAAAACAAAGACAAGTTTAGTTGTATTGAAGTAGTTAATATAAATTGGAATCATTATATTAAGGATGTATTTATCATGATTATATTATTTAAGAGCTCCCGATATTTCGACAAGCTGTTACAAGCATGTTGATCGCATTGAGTTCGTCAGGTCCGGATCTAGGGGGAGCAACACGGGGTTCATGCCCCGGGCGGCAATTTCTGGAGAAGCAAATTCGAACTTGGCATATGAATACACAACTCATAATTTTGATGCATCTTTGACAACTTGATTACTGACAGATGGACGTCTAGTAAATAGTTTATGGTCAATGCATTTGAAAATGAGAATATTAGTTAATAAAGCAATAATAATTAACAGCAATACTTATTGTACAAATTGTAAGTTAATATGTACATTGCAAAAATATTGGCCGGTGGGGGAGGCCGGGGGAGTGTTTTTTTTTTTTTGTGGATGATAATGGAATGATGCACCCGCCTGCGCTAACGGTTTACGCTGGCGGGGCACCAGTGGAGCATGATAAGATGAACATGAGGTCAGATCAGTTAGCCCATCGTGACAAATTCACCAGGAATTTATCACGATGGTTTCCAGGGGGAACCGCGTGGAGGTCAACCTGACATGGTACATTGATAGCGATAGGGTCATGCCACATTACTAACTATCACCTTCCCCCCGCCGGGGGAGTGTTAGGGCGGCAGTTTTTGTTTTTGCCCTGCTTCGAAAAATATTAAGATCCGGGGCTAGGGGTCGTCTATACTAATATTATCAGGTTTATATTATGCAATACTGATGTTGTGTATTCTTTAATTATAAAAAACTTTGAAAATTTTCTTTAATATAAAAAAATGTTACCTACAATTTTTTCCCATCTCATTATATGATTGTGCAAAATTTATTTCGTGTAACAATATCTTATCTCTCTTAATTATTTTTTTATCTCTAACTATAGTATCGGATATGATAGTAGATAAGCAATTTGCACCGTTTAGATATTGCACTTGATTGTGTACCGCCTTCAAAAAGGAGAGAGATGTAAATTTTACTGTGATTTTATGCGTTTACCTGTTACGCATTCTGCAGAAATGAGAAGACAAATAAACATATACCAACTTATTGGAGGGTAACAATGCATTATTCAATTATACAACATTACATAATCTTTCACACTATACATATATAGTTTCACTTTGAACAGATAAGAGGAGCAAGGCTGTCTGAATTACCTACATGCAACTAAGTATGTGAACGCATGAGAGATAATTGTTAATAATGGGATATAGTCAGGGCCTGTTTATCAATTTCGGGGCCTCTAGGTAATACATATTCTACGGTAGACCCCGACAAGTGTACCATTCCATATTCCCCTACAATTGATCCCTCGTCCAATTCAAACAAGAATAGAACTGAGACCAGGTTCGAACCTCTAGCGGCGACCTCAGACTTTTGTCGTACAGTACCCCTCAGGCGGGGGTTGCCCTTAAGCCTCCCCATAACTTCTTTCGCGGGTTTGGAGTGCCATCTGAACTCACCCCCTATCTCCCGGTGTAGCTGCAAAGGCCAGCTGCGGCCAACAGCATTAGAATAGGTACTCCGAAAAAACACATTCCATATGTATCCATATTAAATACTAAATATACATATATATGTATATATATATTGTATGTGCTATCTATACATACTACTATACTACACTATACTATAAATAATTCATACATATCTAGGCAGTTTAAACGACAACAAGCCGACTAACTTCCGGAAATATTTAAGTTGTCAGATTTTTAAGCGACTATAGTTATGAGTACCTACATATATTTCCTGACAAAACTAATTTATCCTATGTAATAAATATGACACAATCGCTCCTATTTTCGCTTTTATTTCACCTGATAAGAAGATCAAGGCTGCGCCAATTAGTTGCTACTATGCAGATAATATTTTATAATATATCTGTATCTACAAAAGGATATAAATCGTATCTATATAATCGACGACGGGCCAACTACTTCCGGACATGTTTCTGTTACTTCCCGATTTACTTCCGAGTTTTTGAGATTTCCGATTGTCAGTATAACAAAATGCGCTGTCACTGGGGTTGATTTTAACAGGTTTACAGTATGTAAGAATAGACTATCAAACGAACTAAATAGCAAGTTTGTTCCTGAACAATACAGGCTTGTTAGATGGGAGAGGATACCAATTATATAAAGTTTTCAATTTTGATAGAATTTTTGTAATGTTACAATAGAGATAAATATTATAGAATTTCATATTATAACTCAGAATAATGCTCCTTAAATATAATTAATTATTATATTGTCATTATTATTAAATAATCAGCAATATATAAAAATACATATTACAAAGTATTAAAATTATTAAATGTCCTCGGCTGGTGTATTATTTTTCTTATTAATTCCAGTGTTACGCAATAGCCTTAAATTATTAATATTATCTTATCTGTGCTATAGGTATAGAAAATTCATTCTCGAATGCATAGTGAAATTTCAGTGATTTAGCAAAAAGTGTAGATAAGACCGGTGAAAAGTGTCAGTATGTATTTATATTTTGACGCGTTTATTGGTAAAAGTTGTAGGCTCAATTTGTTATAGAATCACTGATTTTTAGAACCCTAAATATTTATGCAGGAGATCATAAACGAAAATACAGAGCATAGATAAAGTACCAACCTGTAATTATATGTTTCAAGAAATAATAAAAAAAATATTAAATTTACATAAATATAAAAAAAATAACACTAACCTGTGATTAACTTGATTACCACAGGTATATAATATTATCTTATCTGTTTTATAGGTATATCTTTAAATAATGTGATTAGCGCCATCTGTTAGATTTTTGAGCAATCAGAGAGTAAGTTCATACTGCTAAGTAAATTCGCATGATTACTACTTTTTGATAGGTTTATGAAGCAGAATACTAACAGACATGATGTTTTTAAGGGTACGTACGTACGTACCCACTAGATGGCGACACATTACATTTGCTGCAGTTTTTAATATGTCGTGTTAGTATCACATACACATATACTGTGTGCAGTACTATTAAA